GGCCTCGCCTTGAGTGGAAGACTTGTGAACTGCTTTACCATATGTCAAAGGTATTTTATAGCAATGATTCAGGCCTCTAAGTAACTGACTTTATCAAAAGGGAGAATATCCTGGGTGGCCCTCACCTAGCCAGGTGACACTTTTTAAGAGTCTAGAGGTGAGTGGTCTCCCTGCCTCTCTTCATGGTCTAGAAGCAAGCTTTTTTCTGTAGAACGTGGGGCTATAAGCAAATGAATTCTGATAACAAGAAGGGAGCGCAGAAGCAAATGCTCCTCAGTCAAGCCTCCAGCAAAGAAGCTCTGTGGTTTTCCATGTAAGATGTGTCTGCCTGTGGTTATTTTATCTTTTTAGGTCACTGAACCTGATGCTAAGTGCTGCCACGTGTCTGGGACCACGCTGGACATGACGAGAGAGACCGAAGGACTGTGGAGAAAGGTGCTGAGCTTCAGGGCCTTGGGAGAAGCCCCTGCGCTAGAAAACAGTAAAAGACCACGGAACGTGTGTGGTACCGTTCGGACAACTGCATGCAGATGTCCTTCGCTCTGGGTGAATGATTTGGGGATGACAGTGCACACTGTGTGTACCACTGTTGCCCCCTGATTGATGTGTTTTGAAATTTTGTTGTAAAAATGGATTTGAAAAAATAAATAGTAAAAAGTGTGGAAAAAAAAAAAGACCATGAAACGGTGAGCTCCACAGGTGCAGGGAGGAAGTGTGGCTGAGCCCATGCCAGAGTGATGAATTTTATTTAGACTTCATAGGCTCTTTCCTCAAAGCAAAGAGAAGGCTTGGGCAATGCTCTTAGCATACAGCTGCATGAACACAGCAACAGGAACTTGTGATCTGATGGCAGCTAACCATATTGAAATCTTGCTTACTTGAAATTTGGGAATAATTTTAAAGATACTGAGTTGAAATGTTGAGTTTTCCAACCAATACCTCAACATCACAGTACTGTGTTCACCAGAATGTTTTAAATTATTACAAAGAGAAAATTCCATCAAGTGCTTTAAACAATAAACAAACTTATTAACTAACCAAGCAAGTAATCCTGAGGTAAGTGAGCCCCAAGGTTTGTTCACTTAGAGGCTGACCAACATAATGAAGGATCAGAATTCTTTTATTTTCTGTCTTTTCCTTGTTTCAATAATTTGTTCATAGTTACCTTTCCTCATGATCACAAAATAGCTGCCACTGTATTAGGTACAGTTTCACAATGCTGTCTTAGCAAGGACTATTTCTTTCCATGTGTCTTTTCCCTCACTGAGGGAAAAATCTTTGTTAAAAATCTCCAGTAGACTTCACCTAAAGTCTAATTGGCCAGAATTCTTTCTATCTCATGCTTGTACCTAAAGCAGTCAGAACTCTACCTTCTGGGCAGTGTTTGGGGCCTCAATCCCTAAATCTCATGGACTGAGGCACCTGGAGTCCTAGTGAAAGGAGGAAGAGGAATGAGCAGTAGGGGGAAGACGGTTGCTGACAGCACCCCGTGATGATTAAGCAGACTGTCTCGCCCGCCCGGGGACAGGAGCAGTCTCCCTAGTGGTGGACAGTGACACACAGGGACAGATGTGCGCCTGAACTGCATGCGGTGACCGAGCTTGGCGGTGGGGGAGTGTGGTGAGGTCACGGATCCGGAAAGGCCGCTCTACGGAAGTGAAAGGTGTGCAGGACTTTCCTGGCTTGGCCCACGGCAGTCCCCGGGCAGAGGGAGCGGGCCTGGCTGATCCCAGAACAAAACAGGAGCCTGGTGTGGCCGAGCCCGGGGCGCCGTGACAGCACAGGTTTTCTTGACTGGGGGAGAGAGTTTGGGTCGGGTCCCTAGAGCCGTGCAAAGGCACTGAGAGTTTAACAACTCAGTCTGGGTACTGTGCAGAGTATGGCTGGAGAGGTAAGGAGCTGATGGCGGCGCGAAACGTGAACAGGTGGCGCAGCAGGGGGACACAGGGTGACTCAGTCGGCCCCTAATTCCCTCCTGAGGTGTGCGTGAAGGGCAGGAGGTGCAGCTCCCACTGTGGTGGCCTAAGTGCCACATGGGAGGGAGCGGGGAGAAGATGCAGGAGCTAAGGCAGCATGCTAAGGAAGGCGACTTGGAGCGGGCTGCAGTGACCAGCAGCACCAGCGAGATGGTGCAGATCTGAAGGCCGACCAACCGACCCACCGAGCAGGAGAAGCTGGTATGAGCACTAGCTGAGAGCCAGGAGGCGGGGCAGGTGGAAAGGGAGGCGGACGAGGAGAATCCTCACGGATTGGAAACAGTATCTGGGGATACAGGCGGCGTGTTCTCAGAGTCAGACTCAGAATTGTAAGGATCAGCTAGGATTGTAAACAAGAGGACAAAACCACAGTCTTTGGGGGACCAGGGACTGAACGTTATGGTTTAAGTCTAGAATGTCACCCACAATCCTCATATATTCATAGCTGGGACTTTTGAAAGGTGACTGGGACCTGGGGGCGCTGTATGCTTGGTAAATGAATTCACTGAGGAGTTGAGCTGAAAGCCCTGCTAGGAGGTGGGCCTGGTCAAAAGAGGCGACCACAGCAGGCGCCCCAGGAACGGTTTACCTCCCGCTCTTCTGCCTTCCTCTCTGTTGTGATGTGAAAAGGTTTCCCACGTGATTCCCTCTGGCCTTGGAGCCAGCTGACTGTGGACTAAAACCTCTAAAAGCTGTTATTCAAGGGGCCAGGGATATAGCTCAGTGGCACAGCTCCTGCCTGCCGAGTGTGAGGTCCTGGGTTCAATTCCTGGTACTCACAAAAACCAAAACAACAAAAAGCTGTTAGCCAATATAAACCTCTCCTCCTTTACATTGTAGGCACTGGGTATTTTGTCTAAGCAGTGAGAAAGTGATTCAGACAGGGTCAGATACAAGAGAGTTCTGAACCCCAGGCTAGGGTAATAAATGAGGACAAAAACAATGGTTGAGCTGGCCACGTGGTGCGCATCCACGATCCCAGCTGTTGGGGAAGGTTTGAAGTTAGGGTCTTGTCTCAAAATGTAAAAGAGCCAGGGATGTAATTCAGTGGTACAGCACACTCAGTTTAATTTCCAGGAATGTTTCAATCAAGTCTAGCTTAGCTATAACTTCATGTGGTTCTCTTAGGAATAAACTGAAGTATTATTCAAGTTTTGGTGATGGGACTTCTCATCTGTCCCTGTTCTCACTGCTACCTGTGTGTCATTTACCAGTGATTTCTAGCGCCTTTTACACTTCTTCAGTCATTGAGCATTGGTCCTGGAAATCCTAGAGAAAATATGCTCCCAACTTTCAAGGGGTCCAAGAATTAAACAGATGAAGAGTTAAACTGCTATAGATATTTGGGAAGAGGTGGTACAAAGTGGAAAATATTGTCTCTGCTATAGGAAACCCTCCTGTACCTTGCCATAGTCCAGAGGAGTCCACATTTGTAATCCCAGGGAAAAGTTATTGAAATTCCAGTAAGTCATTCCAGTTACCATTTCCAGTGGAATCCATGGTAAGAATAAAGACACTACGACATACTTGTAGTTGTGGGGAGGCTAAATCCAGCTAGGGTGTCCTACATCCAGCTAGAATGAAGGCTAACTGGAACAAAGGCTTCAACCTAGGGCCAAACCCATGCTTTACTAATTTGCCAAAAGGAGAGCAGCTCAGGGATGAGTGACTATGAGAAATGTGGGGAGCCCGTGGGTGTCATGAGCTGGGGTAGGTAGGAGACCTGAAATCATCTCTGCAATGTGCAGAGAGAGAGATGCAGAAAGTGTAATCTGTGTATCACAGACTGGGGCAGTATCTCATGTTTTGGGGTCGGTGCTTCAGTTTTGATGTGTAATCATCAAGATGTCACGGCTTCTTTCTTGAAGCTCAGTGTCAGTCAACAGCATGGTGTCACTTGGCCTGCCTCACACATACTACTTGGGAGCTACACGCAGGGCATCACTGACCCACTGCGTTGCTGTAAAGACTGCACGTCAGCACCTCAGCTAGACTCATTCATATTGCTTAAAGCCAGCTGAGAGATAAAGATAAATCTTAGCTACCTCTGTACATAGCAATACACAGAAACGGAGTCAAGTTTTGCAAACATGGAGACAATCACTCTTCTTTCAAGGAGAGTGTCCTGCTGGTCTTCACACACGACTACTTGGTGTGTAGCACTAAATTTCACAAAAGTGGTGACACATAAATGTCACTTGAGAGGTGGGCTCTGAAGGCTGAATAGGAATTCATGAGGCAAAAAAAAGGCGTCCAAGCACAGGGCAGGGTCTGTGCAAAGACACATATTCATCTTTCAATTCTTACACTTCTGATCTGACAAACCCTGGAGAGTGACGAGTTCTTCCAGTTGCTACAAAACAAGAGTTAACATTAAGTGTTGTCCCTCATAAATGTGAGTTTTGGGCACCAAAAGGGTCCGAATATTTCTAAGCCACATTGGTTAGGCTCACTATCCTCACTTTTTCTCAGGGAGAATTTATTGGCTTTCACTTTTCCAGGGCAAAAAGAGAAAAAATCTTTAATCTGCTTTTTCAGACATTAGTAACCTCATCAGTCATCCATCCGGGGCCCAGAAAGACAGGAGAAGTCACAAGCCAGCAGCATACTTGGCTATCGCTTTGGACATTTATTTGTGGGAAATCGGTCCCTTCTGAACATCTCGAATGTTCCGAAGTTACCTCTGATGCCCAAGGTCACTTGTCTTGCCTCAGAAATGTGTTGAATTGTTTATTTTGTTCAAGTTAAAAATTCACATGTGGATCATCTTCGAGACCAAGAGAAAGTGAGCCAGAAACTCACTGAAGGCTGGAACGCTGTCCTGTCACCCAACACCTGTGTTTGACAAAGGTGTGGACTGCAGTGCAGGCAGCGCCCTGGCTGCAGAAGCAGGCAGGAGACAGAAGGGAGCAGCGTGACGGAGAAGCCGTGTTTTGGGGAACTGGCCCGTCTGCTACACTTCCTCTCTATCCTGCCCCGCGCCTCCACCCCCCAACCCAGTCTCTGCCTTTTTCTCTGAGTAACTGTACGTCAGTTCCTGGAAGGTGGAGACATTTCCTGAGGCATTTACAACACGGAGAGCTGTCCAAAGGGGAGGCTGAACCCCTTTCTGCACCCCAGGCCAGGAAGGTTAGGACCAGGCCAGGCCATCCTGCTGTGGAGGCGCCACCCCAAACCCTGTGTGTGTGGCAGCTCTCCCAGCCCCTGCCTGGGCTCCTCTTGGCCATGTCCCTGGCTGAAGCCATCAACCTCTGGAATGAAGGGGTGCTGGCAGCTGACAAGAAGGACTGGAAAGGGGCCCTGCATGCCTTCAGCGCAGTCCAAGAGCCCCACTCCCGGATCTGCTTCAACATCGGCTGTGTGCACACCATCCTAGAAAACATGCCCGAGGCCGAGAAGGTGAGCGGTGGGGGCTCTGCCTGCCTGCTGGTGCCCTCTAATTGTTACTCTCAGCCCCAGCTGCGTTGTAGAGACCTTGCCTCTGGGGAGCTTTAAAAGCACAAAAATTGTCTGGGCCTCATCCCCAGAGGTTCTGATTTAATTATTCTGGGGAGAGGCCTGACAGCTACACTTGTAAAAGCTCCCCAGGGTTGTGAGTTACGTTCTCCTTTCTTCTTCATGTACTAAATTCAAAACATCCTGCAAGTATTCTTTAACACCATTATGAAGACTCTCTTCATTATATTTTCCTGTACAGACACCTGCTGGACATAAGATCTCTGTCTCCCCCCAACTGTGCAGCTGATTGTAGGGACCTCTGTGACTTTCCAAGAATTTTGTGTGTCAGCTTTGCCTGTCCCAAGAGATTGCAGCGAGGCACTTAGTGGGTTTCATCCCAGAGTGACGCTTCTGGCCAGTAATGCGGCCATTTGTTTAAGGGTTCTGACATTTCCAAAACAAAACTGTACTGTGATTGATTACTGATGTCTGCCAAAACATGGTGGGGGGTGTCTTAGCATTTTTTTATCTTTAAATATCCTAGTATAGAGTCAAACATTCTCAGTAACCACGTTTTGGATTGATTTTTGTAATGTGAAAGAGGCACGGAGTTTGGAGGCAGCAGAAGATCTAGTGCTGAATTCTCACACCAGCTCCCTGGCCTGTAGTAGCAAGCCACATGAACTTCTGGTTCTCAGCATCTTCACAATGAGCATTAAATGAGACAGCAATTGTTAAAGGGCTGCACAAGTGGACACTGTAGTGTACACCTGTATAATTTCAGCTACTTAGGAGGCTAAGGGAGGAGAATTAGGAGCAGAAGGCACCCTGGGCAACCTGGCAAGACCCTGTCTCACAATAAAGAGTGAAAAAGGCTAGAGATGTAGCTCGGTAGTGGGGCACTTGCCTAACATGTTCAATCCCCACTACTGGGAAAAAATGCTGTACATTTCACACACGGATGCATAGAAGATTTTATTCTTACTTTCTGCCAGCTTTGCCAGGTAGACTGACTGCCCCCAACACGCTTGGTGACTCATTTTGTGCACCAGTCGTCCTGTGTTGCAGGTGTAGCCCTGGCTACACCTCCTGATGGGGAGAGGTGACAAGTCAGTTTCAGGCATATGTGCGGTGCCTGCCTCCAGCTGGAGGAGGGGCCAGCTAGGCCAGCGGGCACTGCCGATTCTGCCTTGGCCTGATCCTGGATCCCGTGGTCATCACACCCCTCTCTTGCTCACCTCTGCCCTCCCCCTCCAGGGATCCCTCCTGCAGTCCCCTGCTGGGGCCCTCTCACTGCCTTCTGCCCAGCTTTGTGTCCTGCTGAAGTCCTCAACTAACACTTTATATATATACATTATTTTAACTATGCGCTATTTTACATTATAAGCAAATTATTTTGTTTTATGTTATTTGAATTTTAATCCATCTTATTATTTTGACTCTGCCAACCATCTTGAGAGACAGATAGTAACATCCTCATTTTACAAAGGGGGAAGCTTTGCAGAGGGAAGGTGTCCTGCCATGTGCTATGTGGTGACACCCCAGGGAATTCTGACCCAGGGGGTCTTTGCTGTTCTCCTGTTTCCTGAAGGCCTGGATCATTCTTGAACCCCTTCTTGACTCACCCTCTGCTCATCCCTCACCTCCACACTGGCTATGGCCTTCTCTCCACAGGCCTTCACTAAAAGCATCAACCGGGACAAGCACCTGGCCGTGGCTTACTTCCAACGAGGGATGCTCTATTACCAGATGGAGAAGTAAGTGGTCCAGTGGTGCCCACACTGGGGAAGTCTGAGAGAAACTCGAGGGCCTTGGATGCTTCCAGGCCTGTGTTGGAAAAGTATCTTCCAGCCTCTGTTGCGAAGGAAGCCTGACTAGACTGGCCCTTCTGCACAGTTAGGCAAAAAAAATGAGCATGGCAGACAGAGCGCCCTGGGGAGAGAAGGCAGAGGAGCCCCCAGTTGTAACTGAGCAGTAGGACCCTCACAGCGTGCCTTGCACACCACCGTGGCTCTGCTATCCAGTCACCAAGGAGCCCACCGGTGTTCTTGAGGAGTCACATGTGGTGGCCCCCGTGCTGATGTACTGAGCTATCCCAGAAGAGGATTATCTGGAAGCCACATCAAACCCTGGCTTCATCCCAGCAAAACACACTTTCAAAGCCTGGTTTGGTACACTGGATGAATATAAGTCAGCCACAGAAATGAGAATACAAACTATTACCAGTATAAGAATAAATTAGGGCTGAGCTTATAGATCAGCAGAACAAGCGACTCCCTAGCAAGGTGAGGTTGTGAGCTCAATTCCCATTATCAAAAAAAGGAATAAATTAATACAGATGTCAAAATAGTATATATAGCAAATCTCATTTCTTTCACAAAATAAAGACTGCAAGCCAGAGATCAAACTTTATAGGTACTATTTTCTGGGTGATGGGATATAGATCCATTTGCTTCTATCACCCTATCTGCATCTTTTGATGTGTTCACAATCAACATGACCTAATTAGTAAAAGATAAATTAAAAATGAAAATTAAGTTCAATTCCCAACCCTCCAATATCCAAAGAACAAATCTATAAATAACAAAGAAAAATATTATGTGAGAATTTAAAATGTTTTCAAATGGCAAACTGACCCTGCATAGAAATTATTCCATCAGTGGGTGGAAATTCTGGGGAAAAAGAATTTGGATCTGGCTAAGGAAGAGTTTTGCTGTTAAGCAGCAAAACTGGTCTGAGCATGGCTTGTGTTGGGGTGCAGGTGGGCAGTGCACTGAACGGGTGCAGAAAGGCTGCAGCTGATGGGCAGGCGGGGGGGGGGGGCTGGGCCTCAGAAGGCTTTGATCCCAGGCTTTGGCCAGAAATACAGCCTGTAAAGCCAGGTTCTCAGCTGTTGCTAGGAGCAACCACAGGCACTCAGAGAACTTCATAGACGTGGATGTAGTCTATTACCTGAATGAGTAAGGGCAGAAGCAAAGTCTCCCCCAGAGAAAAACTGTAGACACAGAAGCAATCAGGAGACAGTGCCTGGCACTGGTGGGGGAAGGTTACAGGGTATTTACGCCTCTCGGCACCTTGCCTCTGCCTAACTGCCTGTCTCCTGCTCGCCATCCTTCTGTCATCACCCGCTCCTGTATCTTCTGTATTCTCCAGATGTACAGAATGCATGGGGAGGTCAGGCACAAATCCCACAGCCTGTTTTGAATTTCAAAAGACAAATTGTAAGGGCAGCCCTTTAATTAGCTCTAATAACCTATAATGTAGAGGGACAATAGAAAAAGAGGGACAGCTCCTGGAAGGAATTCCCACAGGAAAATGTAAACAAGTTCCAGAGCCTGGAAAGCTGGTTTTTAATAAGCTAGAAAGATCTAGCAATGAGACTCTAGATTCAGCTAATCTGCTTCATAGCCCCCCCCAAATCCATAAGATTTAGTTTTAGAGTTCAACAGCTCCCTAATAAAAAATCATGAGGCACTCCTCTTTACCACAAGCCAGCTCCTTTTATTTTGCCCAACCCATAGGTTCCAGTATTGCTCCTCCCATTCTGGTCTCAGCTCTTTCTTCTTGCATAACTGTAGCAGGGCTTGTTAAATGGCGCGATCCAAGGGCTTCCTCCCCAGAAGTGACACAATCACACACGTCCTTGCACGTACAGTTTCAGGGGCTATGGATATGGAAGTCCACATGTGAACTCTAAGGACTCATTTCTAGGCAAGGCACCCTCTCCCAAAGTACTAATCTCCATTTGTAACTACCTACCTCCTAAATTTGTACCTAGGATCCACACAGAATGTCCCTCACTTGAAACCTCGTCAGGACGACATCTTAAACCTATTTATCTTCATCTCTGCTGGCGTTCCCCTGGTTAAAACCCTCACTTTTCACCAGTACAACTGCAATCACTTCCAAACTGATTTCCCAGCCACCAGGCTTATACCCTTAATTCATAAGTCAAAGCAACCTTAAAAACTCCATGTGATGAGCTTGAGAACTTCCGATGGCTTCCATGAGTACAGGGTAAAGGCCAAGTCTCCTCATCTGCTCCTCCACGGTCCAGCTGCTGCCACCCTCTCCTGCATCCTCCCTGCCTGTGCTTCCACCACTCAAACTGGGGGGGGGGGGGGGACCGACGACCACACCATGCCTCTCTTGCCTCCTTTTATAACATCTGTCTAGTCAATGACAGATATTTTTTACAGTTGTCTCTTTTACTACCACCCTGTAAGGGTCTTAGGAAAGGAATCTGTACACATCCATGCTGATATCTCAGCAAATAGATACCAGTTACTCAGTATGTGCTTATGTAATATGTAATTAATTCAGGGGAAGTGTGCACATCTCTGTTTTAAGGAACTTATAGATTTGAAGGAGAAACAAGTCACCAAGATAGTAACTGTGATGCAAGGCAGCAGGAGGCGGGTGCTGTACATGTTGGTTTTTGATGAGTCCACCATGGGGACTTAGAGAGGTCACTTCCCACTGGGTGGCTTAGGATCCCTCCGGGGCCAGTGGGACTTGAGCTGGGTGGTAATGTCTCGGATGATGCTTCTCTATGTCTCTCACTCTCCTATGCTGCTGCTGTTCCAACAGAACAAAGTTACAGCATATTTCCAAGGAGGCAGTTGACATCTCAGGAGTGACCTAGCAAAGCTGTCTCACCTCTGTCTCCCCAGCCCTGTCATCATGAAGGGGAGGGGGCACTAAATTGTCTTTAAGATTCAGTACTTCCTGAAACCAGGAATCTAGGATGGTGAAAACAGAACAATGGTGAGACCCTGCAGACCGGGCTGGTTTACGAGACAGACCAGAAATGGATGGAGCTGAGCAGTTTCCTGAAGTCTCTGGGCGCTGGGACTTGTTTCTTGCTGTGATCAGTCTCCCAGGGGCAGGCAAATGAGCTGCAGTATTCCAGGCTGCGTGGGGCACTGGTAGCTAAGGAACAAGCGTGAACTTTAGGGGTTACTAAGAGACCTTCTCGAGACCTATTACACAAATGATGGTCATGAACCTTTTCAAACGGGGGAGCTGTGAAATGGCACAGCAGACTGAGGCTTCTGCGGGGCACTGCTGCCTGAGAAAGCGGGGTTGTACAGCCAGGGCGCCCTACAGGGTGTCACCACGTGATGGCCTGCAGAGAACCAGGGGCAAAAGGGCTGCTTGGCTGGCTCTGGTGGCACCAAAGAGAACAGTGAAGGGCAACAAAGAGCACAGTCTGTGCCCACCTGTGACGCTCAGGGCTGAATGCTGCTTTGGACTTGCATGCTGACCTCGCTCAGATGTATGCTGTGTGTCAAAGCGACCCCATTGTCCACCGTGCCCTGTGGGTACACCTCGGGTCCAACACTTGGAGCTTCCAATAGAGACCCGCAGATGAGCTCAAAGACGTGCTTATAAAAAGCACCCTTCAAAGTGACATCTCATGGCCTTTCACCACAAAAGCAAACCCTGAATAATTTTTGTGCCTTCTCCCTCGCACGGGGCACAAGTCTCTCCCACATCTCGCTGAGCAAGAGGATTATAAGAAAGATCTTTCTGGCCTCATGCAAGGCCAGGTAAACCCAGGTGGGTCTTGAGTAACCAAAATCACCTATCTGCTTAGCCAACTTGGCAGGGAGGAGGTACATTTGTGGGTTAATGCTGAGTACACTTTAAGCACACTCTCTGGGACTTCCTGCCCACTTGCACGCAAGCTGTGGGAAGAGCTCAGAGGAATCAGAGAGCAGGGAACAGGTCACTTCAGCTTTCACCTGCTCCCCCTTCTTGGCTCAGTGAAATCCTCCAACTAGCTAGGCTTTTTGTTTAGAAACTGCCTTTTTCCTCCTCAGGATGACCTGAAAGATGTATGACCGAAACTTGAATCACTGGTTGCTTCTTAAAGAATGGCCTGCTTCCAATCCATTGTCCTGGTTAAGAGCAGGTCTCTCAGCACAGGCCGTCTTCCTGCCCAGGCGCTCCTCTCCCATCACTTCTGTAGCCACTGCGGCAGCCTGCATGTGAGCTGCTTCAGACTTAAGGTTCAGCAAGTCCAACCTCTCCCCCAAACACCTGGGGGCCACATTCCCTAGAACGCCCTCAGGCGACCAGCCCTTCAGGGCAGCTCTAAGCCTTCTGAAGATATCTAATAGGTGTGGCATCTCAAGCTTTAAATAAGCATGTGATGAGTGGTGCTTGGGTTTAATTAGAAAAGTTGAAATATAAAGGAACTACTGTGTAGGCTACACACTCCCTGAGCACCTGAGTGCACGATCACATTTAGTTCTCACAGCAGGCATGTACTATAGACATGTACCGTTTTTACCATTCTCTTATTCTAAAAATAAAGAAGCAGACTTAAGGGGAAGTGAAGTAATTTGCCCAGATGTAAGGGAAGCAAGCAGATGTATGTGGCAGAGCCAACACTCAAGCTCAGTCTATTTTGACTGTAGAAACTGAATCGGGACTACATAGTAACAAGTTCCTTACATTATATGCTCTGAGTATAACATGCTCCTTGAATACTGTATGCTCCCACGTATGGACCAGGACTTGAGGCTACAGCAACAACTTGCTGGAACCTCCTAGCTAGTGGCAGACCTGCTAGATGTGGTCTCTGGTTTGTGGTTCCAGGTCTCTGGTCCCTGGTTCCTGACTTAGGGTGCCTTGTTGCACAACAACTTCTCCTGAGGATCCCTGCCAACCTGTGTCCAAATTCCAAGCTTACCTCCAGAAGCCCTAGAGAGATCAGATAGTGGCCTCAGGGTTTTTCATTTAGTTGTGTCCAGGTAGGAGTCACAGCCAAGCAGCCAAGCCAGAAGCTGAGTAGAGTAATAGGTTGAGTAGCTTGTTTTCACTGTTCCTCACTCTGTAGCCCAGCAATGGATGCCTCCTCTCAGCACAGCTGGAGGTGGGAGTTGGGCCACAGCCTTGGTCACTGCTCTCAGCAGTGTGAAGCTAGGTCCTCCTTGTACCCCTTGAACCTCATTGATGTGTCCAGCTCCCATTCTCTACCTTGATTCCAAGGACAGCAGTCCTAACACTTGTTGAGCCAGGCTCATCTGACCCTTAAAAGGAGCAGGGTGTGGGAGGATAAGGAGCCAGCAGTTTTCTGAATCAGCTTGAAGACCCTGAAGGGACACAAGGTAAGCAGGTGTGGTTCTGCTCAGAGTCCTCAAAAGAGAATGCAGGCTATATTTGAAGGAGACGAACTAGGTTGCCAGAAAAGTGGAATTTGTGTTCTGTCCATAGAGAAGAAAATCCCTGTAACTATCTCAGACTGAGGTCTAGCAGGGGGCCAGGCTGTGACACATAGCCTCATGGGGGAGGTTCACATAGGATCCATGGAGCCCTTGGTTTTAGAGTTGATGAGAAACTAGAACAGGTCACAAGAAATTGAAAACGCTCTTTCTCCCAGTGAGATGGATGAGGAAGAGAGAAGCAGAGACACTTTTATTCTGCTCTATTCCTCCACATCCTGGACTGGTTCATTCTCTTCCTGTGTCCTGCAGATACGACTTAGCCATTAAAGACCTTAAAGAGGCCTTGACTCAGCTTCGAGGGAACCAACTGATAGACTACAAGATCCTGGGCCTACAGTTCAAGCTGTTTGCTTGTGAGGTAAGAGACGGGGTCAGCCCTGGCAGGAGCAGATTTTGGTTTGCTGACACTTCTAGGTGCTTGCAAAAGTCACCTTGCCTCTTGTGCCTTGAGGTCAGATTTTCCCTCAGAAGATTCAGGTGGATTGGTGGTATAATTCAGTGGTGGATTGCTTGCCTAGTGTTTACCTCCAGTTCCACAAAGCAAGACTCCAATGCCTATAGGATCATCATAGAGTCGTTAGTTGGTGTGACTTAACAACAGACTAAAAAGGCCATGCAAAATGAGCCAACTGGGCTCTCCTGTGGGAAATGACACAAATACGTTGCCTGTAAAATTATTCCTACTAATTTGTGTGTTTCACTTAGCAATTCAGGTTGGCTTGGCATCATACTGACAAGTGCAAAATCCCAGGCTCACTGTCACTGCAGTATGCGCTGTAACCTTGCTATCCCCAGGTGGCAGGTCATACTCTTTAACAGTAATGGTTCTCAAAACAAACCAGGAAAAAATATGTTTCATCCTAAATAAAAATGCAAAACAATAATTGCAATGGTTCTCAGCCCAGTAAGTTGATACCCAAAGACAAAGGAAAGATAATTTGGCATAAATCTTTTACCTCTCACTCAAAGAACAGTTCAGTGCACAAATTTAGGTAATCGCTTCCATAGAAGGAAAATTTCTTTTCTGTATTACCAGAAAGGAATGTGACTGGCTTTGCCTTATCGGATCATGGACTTGCCCCAAACAATCCTCCTTCCCCTCCCCAGCTTCCACATCAGCAGCTTTCAAAAACTAAAATCCTTGTGAATGTCATGGATCTTTATTTAGAAGAACTGCTGAAAAAAGTTCCTTTGCTTTAGTTTCTCAGGCAAAAGAAGTATTCCCAGGGTTGCTCAGGCTAAAGATAGATCCACAGCTGCCCAGGGCCCCTGGGGACATGTAGTCCCATCCCAGCCCTGCAGCAAGCCTGCAGTTTACTCCACTTCTCACAGTCTGAGCAGAGGAGGTTTTGCATTAGGAATTGACTGTGGGGGTTTCTGAGCCCTGGCCCCACTGATAGGTGGGACCGGACATTCTTAATTGTAGGATTTGTCCTGTATTCTGTGGGGATCTTTGACAGCATCGCTGGCCTCTACCCACTAGATGCCAGTAGCACCCCTCTCCTGGTTGTGATGACCAAAACTGCCTCCACTTACACAAATTTAAGGGTCAGGAGCCCAAGTGGGTCTTGAAAAAAGATCATGCCACAGTGACATCGAAACAGAACTTCGGGAGAGGAACATCCTCCACGTTGCTTGGGTTGAACCAACCAGATGAGACAAGAAATACTGGCTCAGTGGGTTGCTTTGCAAGTGGAGCTTCACTTTCAGGGTCTAAGGCCCTCTAAGCCATGGGGACCCACAGTCCTTCCTCTACCTTTAACCTTGTTCCTCTCTTCTCACCATGGTGTGATCATGGTCTCTCAGAAGACACACCTCTTGTTGAGGAGTCTCAAATTTTCTCTAGTTACCAAGTCATAAAATCTTGTTGTGGGAAAAACTCTCATGAGAAGGTGACTGAGCACCAAATAGGAAGTCTGGAACCACCTTGAGTTCTTGCACACACACGGCTGAGATAGGCAGCCAAACATGTACAGCTGCTTCTCTGCTTGTGACTACAGGTTGCCTTGATAAACCCATATTGAACTTAAAATATCCTAAATTAGGCAGGGCGTGGAGACACATGCCTGTAACCCCAGAACTCAGGAGGATCACTCCAAGTTCAAGGCCAGCCTGGGCTACATATCGAGTTTAAGATCAGCCCGAAATACATAATGAGACCCTGCCTCAAAAAAACAAGAACAAACTGGGTGGGGTGGTACATTCCTATGATCCCAGGACTTCAGAAGCTGAGGCAAGTTCGAGACCAGCTGGACTACAAAGTGAGCTTTAGGCCAGCCTGAATTGCATAGCGAGACCCTGTCTCAAAAGGACAAAAAACTAAATAAATCCTAAATTGAAAATATATTTAATGCATCTGACTGACCCTCACCGCTAGCAACACAGTATGGCTATGGATCGCTGGTTGTCTGTCCTCGCTCAATTTGATGGCTTTGCCCACATTGCAAGAGAACATCATGGTGCAAACTGCTAACCTGGAAAAAGATCAAAACTAAAAAACTGAAGTACTGTTTTTGCAGCATTGTAGAGTCAAAACATTCTAAATAGAGTTGTATATTGTGGCATATGCCTGTAATTCCAGTTATTTGGGAGACTGACTGCTAGTTTGAGACGAACTTTGGGCAGCTTAGTGAAACTCAAAGTAAGAAAATGCAAAAGACTAGAGATATAGCTTAGTGGTAGAGTGTGTTCACAGCATACATGAGGCCTTGGGTTCAATTCTCGCTCCCCAGCCAATATCAAGCCATCATAAGCCATCAGGACACAGCAGGCATCAGTTCAGGGATGCTGAAAATGGGCCTCGAGGGGAGTGTAGGTCGTCACTTCTGGGCTTGGGCTTGGTCCTCACCACCTAGCCCTGGCCATTAACTCCATGGAAACACAAACTCTGTCACCCACCCATGTTTGGCAAGTTAGTATCTCCTGGCAGGAGGCCTCAGCTCTTTGCACATGAACTCCTCACTAGGGCCACCTGAGTCTTGGCACTTCGGCAATGCCGCCAGCTTCCCACAGAGTAGAAAACCAAGAGAAAGTACGATAGTGCCTAGTCTCAAAAGCCATGCCCCTTCATCTGTGTAATATCCTTATCTTCCTCCTTTATTTTAGTGAAATAAGTTTTTAAAAATCTTGCTAACACAGCTAAAAGATTATTTGATTCGTGTGTAAGGTGTGAAGCATGATAATAAACACTCATGATTCTACATGCAGTTAAAGATCTGCAAAATTATGAAGATCACTGAATTTGCCATTCCCTCCTTCCCCAGGCAAAGTGCTTCATGAAATCCATGCTTAGTCTGTGTCCAGCTTCATTGAATTTTGTCCTTGGATTTTCTCACACACTTTGCTATGTTACAGTCTGCTTAACTCATGTGGCTCAAGCCAGGTTCTTGGGTGCTACCCAGCAATGTATCTGGAACGCTCTTCCACCCTGCAGCTTTCCAAAGGTTTAGCCCAACTTCCGTGGCAGGGGCTGCACTGGGAGTGCACATACCTAAATCTGTTCTCGATTCTGCCTCTTCAAGGGGACTTGTACAAGTCATTCTTCTCCATTCTAAACCAACACAGCAGTTTTTGTTCCCTTCTGACCTACTAGGTTGTTGGAAAAGCACACATGATGTTGAATTTATACCTTCTATGGTACTTTCTTAACACCATGATTCGCTTGACCTAACTCAACAGCAAGACTGATCATCTGGCATTTAACATAGTCCCAGGAGAGCTGGGGAAGGCAAAGATGTTACCAGGCCGCGTTCCCTACGTGTACCTGTAAAGCTTTCGCTGGTACTTAGATTTGGAGTAGCCTCGAATGTTAGCTGTGGCCTCTGCCTTCGCAGGTGTTGTATAACATCGCTTTCATGTACGCCAAGAAGGAGGAATGGAAAAAGGCTGAAGAACAGTTAGCTTTGGCGACAAGCATGAAGTCCGAGCCCAGGCATTCCAAGATTGATAAGGCCATGGAAAGCGTGTGGGTGAGTGTGGGTGGCGAGAGGGCTTCCGTGGTTCTTACTGGTTTTAGAGGACACTACAGACGGGGGCTTTTCCTTTCCAAGAGTCCTGGGAAGCACTGCTTTCACTTGTGCTGAGGAGCCAAGCCCGAAAGCCCATAGACCTCTTGTCCTAGGGCACCGTGGAAGCCTGGCATGTGTGGAGCAGGATCTTAGGTGGTGAGCAGTGCTGTGCAGCCCCCAAACACTGTGGGGGCAGAGGCTGTGTTTGTTCATCTCTGAGTCCCAGAGCCTGGCACAGTGCCAGGCACATAATAGCTCTCAGCAGCAATGCACTGATTATATGGATAAATGGTGAGAATTATTGAGGATTTGAGTGCACTGGGGAAAGAAACTAATTTTAAGCAAGATTTTTAAAGCACCAAGGAGGAGAGGGTCAAGTCGATCTCTATATGGCTTTCCATATCAGCAATGCCAGTCCCAGCACAGCACTGTCATGGCTCTGTCTTGGGTCCCGGGCACCCTAAGGGACACTACACAGACAGAGAGAGGGGCATTGTCTTCTAGGAAAGGAGCACTGGGAAAATAACACTGGCAGATGTCCATGGGCCCTGTAACATAAGGTGAAACCAACTGTTCTGTTCCCACCTTACAATTGAGAATAATAAGAAGACCAGACCTTACCAATTTGGACAAGTGCTTTTGTGAGATCATTTTAATGGATTTTACAGCGTTTGACGAGGGGAGCTGCACAAGTATTATCACCCCTGTTTTCAAATTAGGAAATATAATCATGAGCAGCATAAAGACATCTGGGTAGCTGCATATTTGGAGGTGCTGATGCAGCACTAACCATACCCCATGGTGTTTGCGTGATGGTGAAATCAGGAGACGACACCGTTCTCAGAGCGAGCTGCTAGTGTGAAGCGGCATGGGACTGTGTGTTGTTTTCTGTGTTCCAGAAACAGAAGCTGTATGAGCCGGTGGTAATCCCTGTGGGGAGGCTCTTTCGACCAAACGAGAGACAAGTGGCCCAGCTGGCCAAGAAAGACTACCTAGGCAAGGCCACGGTAGGTGGGGGTGCTCGGGCACCCTGGAGGCTCCTCTGCCCAGGCTGTGTGGGACCAGGAGGTAGCTGTCTTCCGCATGGCTCTGTCCCCTCTGTCCCCATGATCACAAGAGGCTGATTTACAGGGACAAAGTCTGGCTAAAGGACAGGCAAATGCTGCTTTCTTCTCCCTGCTGGCCTGAGGTTAGTTACTCTCAGGATGCTGAGGCAAGACAAGGAGAAGGCTCAGTAATGAAGAGAGAACAGGTTAGGGGAGAGGACCCTCCAGGCATGCCCTGGGCCCTGGGCTCCCGGTCATTCACTTCTCTCGGCTGTGAGGACTGCGTACTCCTGCCACAGCCGTGAGACTAGACTCCTCTGTAGCCTGGACTCCTTGTGAATCCAGGTCTTAAATGCTTTGCGACAGGGTCTCTGAAGTGAGTCAGCGGTTCTACTCCAAAACTACGTTTGACTTTGACACATGTCGAGGACTAAAGACGTCCACAAATCCATCAGTGGATAAACAAATAAAAAAAACTGTGGTATATCCATACAATGGAGAATTAGCCAAAAAAGGGAATGAAGCACTGATACATGTGGCAACAAAGACAAACCCCGAAAACTTGATACTGTGTGTAAGAAGCCAGACACAAAAGGCCACATGTTGCATAATTCCTTTTGTTATATATTTGAACAGGTAAATCCAGAGATAGAAAGCAACCTGGTGGTTTCCAGGCTTTGGGGAAAGAGGACTGTGGATTAACTGCTTAATGGTACACCATTTTCTTTTGGGGTGATGAAAAATGTTTTGAAACTAGATAGAGGTGGTGGCAGCACAGCATTGTGGGTGTACTAACTTGTTCACTTAAAATGGCTAATTTGATGTTACACGAATGCTAATTTGACAAATGCATTTCATTTTAAAGAGAAAGAGTAAACTGGGTTATTGGAGGTGAGGCGAAAACTGGTTTCTTTGGTTCTGAAACCTCTAGCATAGAATATGAGTAATCTAACCCTTAGCCACCTCTGCTTCGGGTACAAGTGCACATGGATCTGCCATGTGATAAAGGAGGAAATCTTAGGATGGGAAACAGGCTGCAGACCTCACGCCCCGCCGTTCTCACTGCAGGTTGTGGCATCTGTGGTGGATCAAGACAGCTTCTCCGGGTTCGCCCCTCTACAGCCGCAGGTGAGCGATCCTGCCCTGCTGCCTGGACCTAGTCTCCAGACATGTCGGGAAAACAGCCCTGCAGAGAGCTGTGCTGAGCTGCACTCTCCCAAGGGCTCCTCGCAGCCACTCTGTGCCGGTGAGGGAACTGCCTGTTCGGGGCCAGTCAGGGTTCCAGCCATGACAGTTGGTCTCACATCCTCTTCTCCCCTCTAAATTCTAATAGATCCATTGTCTTGTGAAGCCTTGATCATTCCCGCAGAACACTGAAATGCAAGATACAGAAACACCCACTCGCCAGTACTGAGGACTGAACTGGGGATGGGTGGGGCTCTGCACCAAGCTACATACACATCCAGCCCCACCTCCCCACTTCTGAGACAGTGTGTTATAGGTCACTAAGTTGAGCAGGCTGGACTAAAATTTGTGATCCTCCTTTCTCAACCTCCCAGAGTGCTGAATTATAGCCATGTGCCACCAACGCTAGCTTGTGAAAGGCTTTTTAACAAGGCTGGGCCCTGAGGATTCAGGCTCTCCTGGCTCCATTCATTTGCCTCTGTGTAGGGATTTTCTAGACAACACTAGCAGGCTTCCAGAGGGGCTCATTTTTCAGACCTAACTGGGCTTGGAGAGATGGTTTCAGACGAGCAGAATGGCAGTGAATCTAGAAACAAAGTAAGAGCTTCCTCGTGCCTAAAGGAGGGTAATACATGAGCCCTAGAGCAATGGAGCCATGACGGGCAAGAGCACTGGCCAACACAGCAGAGGGAGGAATCCCGAGCATGGACACCTACTGGGAAGTCTGCACAGTACTGCCCACAGTACCCCTTGAGTACTGCCCAGGTCAGCACGATCCCCGCTGAACCACAGCGGGACTATCTGGGCAGCGGATAAGCAAAGAAGGCTAATGGAGGGCCAGCATCCAGACTCGTTCAGCTGTTTCTTCACAATAAAGCTGAAGAAAGCCCACGTGCCATGAGTTTCAGTTCAGCCAAAGCCCCATAAGCAGGGAAAGCAGCCCCGGTAACTGGACTCTGAGATAGTCAGTATAGAAACAGGGACTATACATTGGAAGAACATTGTTGTCTGGCCAGTGGATCCTGAGCTGATTTTAAATATCTAGAATTGTCACATGATACAGCAGACATTAATTATAGAACAGAGCTTTTGGAAACTGTCCTGGGAAAGGGCCAGAGCTCAAGGTCAAAGCGTTCCCTGACACCACATTGCTCTGTGACAGCTAACCTTCTCCAGAAGCCAGCTCTGGCTAAGTGGAAGTGCTGTGCTGGTTGAAATCACTGCCTGAGGAGCCGGTGGGAGGCGTTGTTTTCCAGGTTTATCAGGATACACGGTGCCTTCTCCCTAGGCAGTGTTCCCATCAGCCAGAAATGCTGCCTTTGATTGTCTGGACTGGAAGAATGCTCACATTACCATTAACAGTCTGCTCTCTCTCCTCTCCCTGCCTCCCCCATTTCTCCTGAATGTTCCATAGGCAGCTGAGCCTCCGCCCAGACCCAAAACCCCAGAGAGTTTCAGGTAAGTTAGATTCAGGTCCACATGCAGAGTGTCCAACTGCAAGCTGGAGTGGAGGGCAAGAAGAGGGTGAAGAAAACGAGGCTGGATCAAGTCTAAATGTGTGGACTTTTCTAGAATGTGAGATCTCTTCTGTTTGCAAGGTTACAACAGAATGATACAGAGGGATGGGAGTTGGGCCCTCGTGGAGCTGACCACCAGGGCTCCTGCAGCTATATCGTGTCCCCATGTCCCCACCTAAATGTGCATAGTAACTCCTGTGGTGAGGGCTTGTTGAAGTACAGCAGTTCGCGAGGGACAAAGTCCGAGGTCACAGGTTAGCTTTGTGCTAGCATCAGGGCCCCTCAGGAGATGGGGGGCCTGGAGCTCTCTGGACAGGAAGCCACAGTGGTGTCCCCTTTCCTGTGTGGGTGTTCCCACTCTATTGGCACATGCTATCTGAAGCAGTAAGAGGAAGGACTCAAGAAAAGGAAGTCATTCTTCTTTGAGATGAAAAGCAAAATGCCACAAACTACAGTTTCCTTAAGTATTCCCTCCAAGCAACAAAAAAAGCCTGCTTAGCTCTTTAGCAATCAAACAGGTTAGAAACGGTGAAAAGTAACTACACAAACGAGTTCTTTGGAGCAGGAATCTGTATTCCTCACATAGACAGGGTGTTCAGAGACAAAGGAAGGGCAGAGTGTAGTGCGACAGAAAGAGCCTGGACAGCACACGGGGCAGCCTGGAAGCCTGCCTCACTGGCACACCCCGCTGTGGCAGCAGGGCATGAAGAGCAGCCCGAGTGTGAGGAGCCAGGCGGGTCCTGAGGAGGCAGCAGGGAAGCGCCACGCCACTGGGAGCCCGCGAGCGCAACCTTCATGCTGCTCTTCGTCCTCTTCCCTTACCTGGCCCGAGACTTCTCCTGCCTCCCCCATTCATCTTTGGTTTTGTTTTGTTTTGTTTTTTGTCTTTTTCCTTTTTTTATCGGTACTGGGAATCCAACTCACGACTGCCTGCTTCCAAGGCAGGCACTTATGCCGCTGAGCTAAATCCCCAGCCACCCCCCCATTCACCTTTGTCACCCAGCTGCCAGCTGTGCTATCCCTCTCTCTGTTCTCCTCCGACCCGCCCAGCCCACGCGCGGGATCTGGCTGATTTTACCCAGGTAGGAACTTCCACCGCAGCAAGGACAGCAGGGAGGGACTGTATACTTCACTGTCATGTGTTGGTTTGGTGTCGTTCATTTTTGTTTTTGTTTTTTGAATCCTTGTCCCACAGCATTTCAATTGTCTCCCTTTATCTAGTCTTATTTGCTGGGGTTTCAGTTCCCTGTAGTCTACAACAGTCAAAAAATATGAAATGGTAAATTTCCAAAATAAAACCTAAATTGTAAATTGCGCCATTTGAAAGCTCACACTTCCTGCTCCCTCCCAAGGAACATGAATCATTCATTTGTCCAGCATTCTAGCTATGTGTTACCTGTCCATCGGGCACTTAGTGACCATCTGTCTATGCGGTCAAAATGGTCTGTTGTGCTATCACAGTGTTTCTGTTCAAGTAATCCTTATTTAATTTAAAGTCTCCAAAGTGTAAAAGTTTTGCTAAAGAGGAGCTGTAAAGAGCTTCTTTTAAGTGAAAAGGCAAAAGTTCTCAACTTAGAAAGGGAGAAAAACAAATCACACACCAAAGTTGCCAAGATCTAGAGTAAGAAAGGATTTTCTACTTGTGAAATTTTGAAGACAAAAGAAATGCATACTGGTTTGCTGTCGCACTTAAAGCTGTAAGAGTTATAGCCATAGTGTGTGGTAGTGTGTAGTTCTGATGATGTGTACGTAAGCACAGCGAAAACAGTATTGAGGGTTCAGTCCTGTGTGTGGCTTCAGGCATCCCGTGGGGGTCCTGGATCCTAACCCTGTGGAAAATGGTGGGGCAGGGCTGGTAGCAGCAGCTTCCGTGTTTATGCAGCATTCTATTCTCGCATGCAGTTTCTTGCCAACCTCCTTTAGGAGGCCGGGCAGGTCACATGGGCAGGTAGATACGGCGCTGGATGGCTCTGGAGCCAATTCCATTTCATTATGCTGGTCCCACAGCACCGAGAGAGGATGTGGTCCAAGCTAAACAGTGGGTTGGATCTTCTATCTCCTCCCTGCAGGGCTCTGGAAGGGGAGGCTCATCGGGTACTGTTTGGGTTTGTTCCCGAGACACCAGAGGAGCTCCAGGTCATGCCAGGAAACATCGTCTTTGTCTTGAAGAAGGGCAGTGATAACTGGGCCACAGTCATGTTTAACGGGCAGGTATTCAGAGGTTTGGGGGAGGTCCTAACACTATGGGACTTGGCAGGAAATGGCAGCACTTTCACTGAAGTAGTGTCTGCTACCTTATTTGCAGATCTACCAGGTTCTTTGATGTCATTATATCCCCTGCCCCTACTAGCTCTGGGCCGTTACGTGGTAGGAGTATGATGATCATGACTTTGTCTTCCCCTTTCTGATTCCATTATATTGCATTGCAGAAGGGGCTTGTTCCCTGCAACTACCTTGAACCAGTTGAGCTACGGATTCATCCTCAGCAGCAGCCCCAGGTAACAGAATACCTGACCTGTTGCCTCCCACTTTTAGCAGATCTCTCTTTGGAGGGGAGAAAAATAGTGTAGAAGATGTTCTATCACTGTCTCTGAAGAAAGATTTGTTGGTCCTGGGCCAGCTGAGTTGGCACCAGCTGCTGAGCTGAACCTGGTAACAAGGGAGATATGCTGAGTAGAGGGTTCACTGGGCCCGCCCAGCCCTGTGATTCCTCCTGGTCAGCGTGGCTTGGGAATCAAAGCCTACCAGTATTGCGAGTTAGGTCTTCCCACATGTCCTCTTTACTAGGAAGAGAAGCCAATGTGTGCAACGCCATTAAAAACAAATAATCTATCTTAAGAGATCAGGGACTGGGGATTTAGCTCAGAGGCATAAGCGCCTGTCTTTTGCAAGCAGGCAGTCGTGAGTTCGATCCCTGGTACCGATAAAAAGACAAAAGACAAAAAAAAAAAAAAAAGAGTTCTGGATCAGAATGGGCCTTGCTAACCACTTTTGCTGAGGAGGCTGTTACCATCTCCTCCATCCAGCCTCCTCAAAGAGCGTAACCTGTCAGGCCTAGGGTGCTCATCGTTGGATCTGAGCAGCACGGTAAATGATCCAATTGGCAGCAGAGCCTGTCATCCCATGCTGTGGGATCCGCACTTCCTGGTGCCTTGAGGTTTCCAAATGCCATGAAATGAGAAGCAGAATTCCTCAGTGAGACAAGAAAGACAAAGTGTCCTGTGTCTCCGGTGTGTTTCCGAAAGATAAGGTGGCAAGAGCCTAGTTAGGTGATTGTTAAGACCCTTTCTATTGTGACTTTTGTTTGCATCAGGTTAAACTCTCCTCCCCTTTAAATCCATATGTTTTCTTAGCCTTTCTCAAGTGTCATGACCACTCTTTAACTTTTAGAAAGTCATTTGCACTTGGCTCTTTTCTGTGAGGTTCATAGATCCTCTTGGCCCTGCTCTGAGAACTTTGTCTGAAGATTCTGGCTCTCTTCCTGTCACCTCTAGGAGGAAACTTCCCAGGAACCTGACATCCCACCTCCTCCTAGTTCCAATGCCCCAGGGAGACCCCAGCTGTCACCAGGTTAGTGGCCCTGGAATAACATCACAAGCCTGGTTGGGGAGTATTCCGGGCTGGTTTCTGACCGAGAGTGGCTCTCCTAGGCAGTTCTGGCTTCTTCTCTCAGTGTGCCTCTCAATTTATTACCACACAACCCTAAGCCCCTTTCTTACACTACCTCCCATCCTAAACATGAAGTCAGAGTCCTTTCTTCTTGCCTGCTCCAGAACACTCATGGGACATGGTTGAAATGGTTTCTGAGGGACAGTGAGTGTCACCTCTCACCAAAGCCCTCGTGAAGTACTGAAACTATGTTCTTGAAGTTGCAGTAATTGTATGTTTTTACACCAGTGGGGCAGAGAGTAGCCCTTTACAATGTCTACAGAGCTGTATCTGGAAGAGAAAGCACTCTGCAGTCCTGGGAGGGTCTAGGGTGGGACAGAACCAATGGGAGATGTGAAAGGGAGATTTTTCTTCTGGTAAGGATCTTGTCTGATTGCCTTGGGGGGCTTTCCATCACTACTGCAATTCAGGCAATTTGGCTAGAGATGGAACCTCAGCATTGTTTTAGTTTGCATCTCTTGAATGACCCAGTGCTGTTGAACTTTCACTGTTTGCCATTTCTATTTCCTCATCTGAGAAATGTGTATATTCATCTCAGATGCCCATTTTTGGATTGAGCCTTTAAATTATTAAAGGGACTAATCAGTTTCCGAAGCCTCCAATTATAATTGGTATGACTATGAAGAAAAAAATCTGGGGCATCTGAATTTTTTTCAATTCTTTGTATGTTCTAGGTAGTAGTCCTGCTGAGGAACAACTGGCTAAAGTTTTCTTCCCATGCAGTAGGTTGTTTTTTCCACTCTGTTGTTGATTTCTCTAGCTGTGCAAAAGCTTTTTTAAAAAATGAGATCCTGGCTGTTGATTCTTTGTATCAGAATCCATAGTTGATTCGATTTCCCATGCAATTGAGGTTTTAAGTTCATGAAGACTTTGTTTTATGTCAATGTCTTCGAGAGTTCTGTTTTATCTTTCAGCTGATTTAATGTTTAATATTTAGATCTCCAATCCATTTTTAGTTTTATTATTTTTGGAGTACTGAGTATTGAACTCGACCTCACGCCTGCCAGGCAGGTGCTTATGCTTCAGAGCTAAATTCCTGGCCCTTGATTTTTTAGGGCATGGTGACACACATGGGTCTAGTTTTAGTATTTGACATGTGAGAAGCCAGTTTTTCCAGCACTACTTTTTTTTTTTTTTTGTCTTTTTCATTTTTATTGGTACCGGGGATCGAACTCATGACCGCCTGGTTGCAAGGAAGGTGCTCATGCCGCTGAGCTAAATCCCCAGCCCCAGCACTACTTATTAAAGAGGGTACTTTTCTTTCAGGGAAGGTGATTAGCCCCTTTGTCAAAGATAAAGGTGGTGGAGAGGGCTTGGATTTGTTTCTGTATCTTCTAATCTGTTCCATAGAGCCTCAGGTCATTTTTTTTGCCAGTATCATGCTGTTTTTATCACAGCAGCTCCACCGTTTAATTTCAAGTCAGGATTGTGATGACCCCTGCCTTTTCCTTTGTTGCCTGGAATTGTTTTTGCTATTCTAGGCCTCTTCTAAAATTCATTTGGAATGTTTTCTCTAGCTCTGTGGGGTATGCTAATGGTATTCTGATTTGGATTGCATAGACTGGCACAACAACTGTGGAAATCAATGTGGAGATTCCTCAAAAAAGTAAAACTGGAAGTCCCATGTGACCCAACTATTCCCCTTCTTGGTATCTTCCCCCCCAAAATTACAAATATCACACCACAGCAATATATGTGCACCCATGTTTATGGCAGCACAGTTTGTAATAGCTAAACTTTAGAAACAACTCAAATGTTTATTAATTGATGAATGGATAAAAAGATGTGCTTTTTAAAAAAGATGACGGAGTATTACTCAGCCAAAAAAGGATAAATTTGAGACATTTATAGCTAAGTGAGACCTTGAGACCATACATTTAAGTGAAATAAATTGGACAAATGTGTAAATATCACATTGCCTCTCTGGCATGAGAACTGAAAGTGTAAATAAGAACCAAAATGTATAATAGATATTGTGATATAGGAAGACATTATTATTATTTTTTGAGACGGGGTCTCGCTATGCAGTTCAGGCTGGCCTTGAGCTCACTTTGTAGCCCAGGCTGGTCTCAAACTCGCAGCGATCCTCCTGCCTCAGCCTCCTGAGTGCTGGGATTACAGGCATGAGCCACCACGTCCAGCTGGAAGAAATTATTCAAAAGGAAAGGGGAACTATGGAGAAGGAAGGGAAAAAGAAAAAAAAAGTAAGAAGGATAAAATGCAAACAAAGCTTTGTAAATAAGGAAGGGAAGAGGAGCTGAAGGGAGGGGAGGGGATTGGGAAAAAAGGAGGAATCGATATATTATGTATGGGTACAGATTTCCTATGATAAATATGATCATTATGTGTATCTAAATTGTATCAATAAACTTAATAATTTAAAAAACAACAGATCATCCATTAAATAAAAAGAATTTCAAGATAGCTTAAAAAAAAAGTATATACTAAACACCAGAATGTCTTTCACCCAAATTCACCAGTTCTTTACATCTTGCACCACGTACATGTCATGTAATCTTTTTTAACCAAGTCGTTTGAAAGTTAAATTGCAGACACAAGAGACAATCCAACTGGAGTGTGCCTCTCCTAGGAACAGTCTTTTGACTGTTGATAATACAGCTGTCACATTTAGGACACTGAACACTAATACTGTAAAATATATACTCATATCCAAATTGTTTCAATCATCCCCTATGCCATATCCTTGCTTTTTTGTTCTTATTCTTTCTGTCTAAGGAATCATTACAGGTCATATTATTACTCCAGGGAAGATTTTAAGAATACAGATTCCTAGGCTTTTGATTCTGACTTTTTTGGTGCAGGGAGGGAGAGGGTTTAGGAATTTGTACTTTTAGCAAAAAAAAAAAGCCAAGATTATTCTAATAATCAGCAGAGTTTGAGATAAGCAGTTGTTTTTAAAGATCACATACCCCTATAATAAATATATTTATGCTTCTGTCACATAAGTTATACACATACTACTATGTTAATAAGTTATACGCATCAGAAAACATACACAAAAGTGAAAGACAAGGTAAAAGATAAGTGGTTCTAATATTTCTTCCAGTGGCCCGTTGCTCACCTGGCGCTCCCTGCTTTTTTCATTGTTCTGGATTACACAGGTTTAACTGTTGGGGGGGGAGGGGTCCTGACTAACCCTGTGGGTTAGTAAGACGTACTGCTAGATATTCAATAATTACCTACTGGATCCCTACAAGCAGCGGCTGACTTTACTCATGTATTCATGACCTCTATATTTTCCCAGTCAGATGTTTCCTGCAATGTACTAAGGGTAATAATCAGCCCAGAGATTAAAGCCTAAGAACCTTGGTCCCGTGCTCTAGAGGTTCCATTCTGTGCACAAAGGGCTAGTCAAGACTTCATTCACCACCTTCTTTTCTTTTACCCTCTACTTTTCTCATTTAGGTCAAAAACAAAAAGAAGAGCCCAAGGTAAAAATTTCCTTTACTTTTTCAAGTGGGAGAAGGAAGAGTCTGCTGTCAGCCAGGGGCGTTTCTGTCTGGATTAGTGTCCCACTGGAAGGGCGGAATGGTCCCACCTTACACAGGCCGTGGGCTACGGAGCCCCTCACTACTTCCCCCCCTTGCGCATTCCCTGGAGTTGGTCTGTTACATCTCACCCCGTAGAATATTTGTTCCAGTGGGAGTTGGGCTGAGGGTTTCTCAAGGCCTTTCAGGGTAAATGTGAAGCCAGTCACATCTCGGCCTCTTCCCTGCTACATGGGATACTCCTAGGCCAAGACGACAAGCAATGGTCATCGAGATGTTGCTGAAAGCCTCACTCAGGAGTTTCCTTTGTTTCTACCTCTCAGAAAACACAGCCCAGGATTCCAATGCCCAACACACTCAAGGTGCACTACAAGTACACAGTGGTCATGGAGACTCAGCCTGGGCTCCCTTACAGCCAAGTCTGGAACATGGTGTCCAAAAAACTGAAGCTCAAGCCGGAACACACTAAGCTGAGGTGAGCTCCTCACAGGCAGCACCCAGGGGCACAGCTCTGGTTGATCTCATGTTGGCCCAGAGGACAGATGGGATGGTTTCTGTGCATATGGTCTCTGACTCAGTCCCTGTTCATTACTCCCATTCAGTTACCTGCCTCGGGACAGCAATGAGTTGGTGACTCTTTCAGAAGAAAACATGCAGGATGCCTGGAGCCAAGTGAAAAACTTCTGCCTGACTCTTTGGTGTGAGAACACAGTGGTGAGTGCACTGAGCCTAGGGATGATGATGATTCAACATTAACTGAACTCCTCTTGCTGCTGGTGACTATCCTTAGTGTTGGGGATATGGTGTGTAATAAGTTGCAGCTCTGACCTCTTTTTTCTGCATCTCACCTAAGGTGCAGGTGGGAAAGGTTTCCCATGGAGAAAAGTGGGCCCAGCAGACTCGAGAGTCCAGAGGAAACCTCGAGACCCTCCACTGGCTGCTTGGCCTGAATGGGTCAGCATTAGGCCCATCATTGCCAAGCAATGGTTAGGATGAATCACAGCTTGAGGCTGAGCTCACTACCATGCTTCATCTTAAATTTCTACGAAGAATTGTTGCAGGTGAAAAATAGTGAGAATTCCTTTCACAGAAATGATCCAGTAACAGCCTCCTCCTAATAGCAAATGTCTTCTTAGGACTTCCCATGTGCAGTGTGTTGCTTATGACTGTTATAACCCCTACAACTCCATGAGGTTGACACCATTTCATTTGATAATTTACCAGAGGGCAGAGAGGGCAAGCAACTTGACTGAGATGACACAGGCCAATTGACTCCAGGGTCTGCCTGTATTTATTACCATCTTGCTGTACTTTCAAGAAAGGACAATCGGAATCAGGAGCAAAGGGAGATGCTAGCTGGGATAGCTAGCTGTAAGGTGACACTCGAGTTGTCCCTTCCGTTCCACAGATAAAGTTGCCGTATCTTTTTGTTAATTCCCTCCACTAACTTTGGTCCCTAAAAATAAGTATCTGCTTTCTGTCAATGTTCCTTTGCTCTTTATATAACCTTACACAAATGGATTACATTGTATAGTCCTTTGGGTTTCAGGAATACGTTTCTTTTGAATACTAACTAGTCTTCCACTGAATGGATACTGCAATTTATCTATTTACTTGGACATCCACCTAGAAGGGATTCTTCTGCTATACATGTGATTTCACTTAAAAAACCTTTCCAAAAAAGTGCTCATTTCCTTTGATGAGGTCAATCTATTTAGTGTAATGTTCTTCAAATTTCCAAGTCTTTTTGGGACTCATCCAGGCTCTGGGGCCACTGCTAAACACTTTGTATTTCTTTCCTTGGAGCGAGTCAGGTTCTCACTAACTAGGAAATTGCATCCATCATCCGTGTACTGTAAGCTGGAATGCTTATCAGTAACCAAGTTTAAACATATGTATTTGAAATAGTACTGTTACATCACACACATTCAGTAAATAACAATTATTCCCTGCCATCTCATTTAATCCCTTAGCCTCGTCAGGTGAGGACCTTAAATTCTGAGGTTACACTGCTGCTCAGGGATGCACAGCTGGTAAGCAGTCAAACTGGGATTTAACTCTAGATCTGTGGATCCCACAAAGTCACTTCCACCTCACTGTACTGCCTTTTAGCCAACAGGGCACACTATGGTTCAACACAGAAATTAGAAATTTTAACAGCATGTTAGCCTACCATGGTTTCTATTGTTGATTTACTAAATCACATATTTGAAGCTCCAGAAACCGCACCCTTCTATTTATGGAACAAAATATGATAACAAGAGTCCTAAGATTATTAGGCCCAAAATGTGTAAGAAAGTGTTTTTACGGGGCTGGGGATTTAGCTCAGTGGCATAAGCACCTGCCTTGCAAGCAGGCAGTCGCGAGTTCGATCCCCGGTACCGATAAAAAAAGAAAAAGAAAAAAAAATTTTAAAAAAATAAAGTGTTTTTACAAGTAAAAGGTAAGCTATTTTCATGGCGTTTGTATGGCACTGTGCTGTGGTTCTCAATCTTTAGCAAGTTCAGGAAATACCTAGAGGACTTCAAATATAGACTACAGGGCGCCACCCTTAGGAAGGTCTTTTTAGTGCGTCTGGGATGGAGGAATACAAGAAAATGCATTTCTAACAAAGCGCCCTAATTGTGGCGCTAGGTAAAGCCTGTTCTTAGAACTGGTACTAAGAAGCCCTAATTGGATCACAGGCTGTCACTTGTGACTCATATTTTCTCCACATTCTACATTTCTCAGGACGTAGGCAAGGTCCCGGTAAGGTATTTTAAGACTATGTATGGTTCTTCAGATCTTTTGATTTTATTCATCCAACTATCCAGTAGCCTTAAAATGCCTATCACAAACTGGTCCTTAAGAGCTTGTAATTGACACTTTACCGTTTCCTTTAGTGATGCTGTGTTAAATGGCCAAGAAATTGGCAAAATTAACAAATCTTTTATTATTTCAGGGTGATCAAGGCTTCCCAGAAGAACCCAAGGAAAGTGAAAAATCTGACATTAACAGCCAGATAAAAGAATCTCAGTTTAAAGGGAGCCAAGTGGTAGCACTCTTCAGTTACGAGGCTACCCAACCAGAGGACCTAGAGTTTCAGGAAGGAGATGTAATACTGGTGCTATCAAAGGGTAAGTGCTATCACAGAACGGAACTCGCATGTAGCAGAAATGGAAGAAAGAAAAAAGTACCAGCAGCTCACAAACCAAACACTGGCCAGTGATTTCAATATCCTCTCCAGCTTTCAGCAAGAGGAAACAAAAATGAATGCATACGCATTCCTCATCTTTTGCTCTCCTAAGTAGGCAAATAATTAATACACATGAGTGACAACACCTTGGTTATTAATGATGGCTCCCTTGAAAACCATGGATTTCTTAAAAAGCATCTATTTGCTGGTCATGGTAGTGATGCTCCCAGCATTATGGGAAACTTAGGCAGGAGGATTTCAAGTATGGGCCCAAAAGAAGCAATTTAGAGATTCAGTAAGACCCCGTCTCACTGAAGTGAGCTGGGGCAGCTACTCATAACTACCCCATATTTTCTGGTAACTTTCTGGATTGCCAAGAGTCAAAAGATACAGGGAAACAGTAAGTGGAGAGTTCTAATTAGTGATTCTCAAATTGACTCTGCCTGAGCATCACTAAAACTGTCTGCTGTCAAATTCCTTGGTTCACTTCCCAGAAATTCTGGTTCAGCTATGGGATGGGGCTCACAAGTTTGCACTTCTGACCACTTCCCAAGTGATGCTGGTTTGACTACTCTGAAGACCACTGTTTTAGTTTGAGTCTCCTCTTCCTGGAACAACAGATTCCCATCATAAAAAGCTTTGCTTGCATGGCAGAAACGCTGTGCACCAGCAATAATGTAGTGAAAATGTATTATTAATTAAAACAGAAACTCAACAGAGAGTGGGAGATTTTAATGTTGAAGGAGTACAAAGTATACACAAGTATATACAGGAAAGTAACTCAAAATGAGTAGAGAAAAATAATGTGTCCTGCAGTGCATGTCTTTCGAGGGAGATTGGAAACTAAATGAGAGGGTTATCAGGTTAAGGCCTCCCAGGGTCATTTTCTAACTGGGATCAGGTAAACTGTCCGGTTTGGGGAGGGGTAGTGGAGAGTGGGTAGTGAGAACACACAAGTTACAGGAAGTACCTTACATTTCAGGATTTCACTGTTCAACATGAAACAGGCCTGATTTAGGATACACACACAGATGAAACTGAGGATGAATTCAACTACTTTCAGCAGTTACAAGAACGGTTTCATCCAAAAAGTGTTTCCCAAGCTTTGGTTTACATGTGACTCACCTGGGGCTCCTCTTCAAATGAACACTGTATGTGCAAAGGGTCTGAGATTTTGCATTTCTAATCTGGTTTTAGGGTCTAGGATACTTTAAGTCCATACTTAAATCAGAATTGCCAGAGAAAATGTTTGATTTTCTGCCACATTCAACATTAATTTCTGAATTCTAAAGGGCAGGATCTAGGTTCCACAGTTCCATCTTACATCCAGAGGTGGACTTCTAAGCCACTTGTATGGTCTGGTTGATGGGCTTTGGAGATTATACTTAAGATGCCTGGTATACTGGTAGAATGGCTCTGAGCAAACTATTCTTCTCTGGGTCACTGTGTTAGTAAGACTGAGATACCTATAAAGGCTGATCAAAATACATGATGTTTAAACAAAAAATATTACAGTAAAAGACACTGCCATTGAACACACTCAAAATACTCCGTGCTTTGAAAAGACTTAGCCCATCATTCTCGCCACTTTCTGACGAAGTCCCCTTTTGTGTATTTTAAGAGGTATGATAAAAATATGGTGAATGCTGCCATGAGTGCCACACAATGGAAAGGCAGGTGTGTAAAACCATGGCGTGCCCCGTCTACCTTATTCACTGGATTTGGCATTGTGCAACTTTTGGCTCTTGCCCAAAGTCAAAACAGCTATGAGAAGTAAATGTTTTGAATCAATTCAGGATACAGAGATAGCTATAATGCACTCATGAAAAATACTCACGAAAGAGGGCTTCTAGAATTGCTTTAGAAAATGACAAGGATGGGTTAAGTGTGTTTTGAGCAGAGTCAGCCTGAGAGAGGCCATATGGGCAGCAACCAGCAAGCCATGGAGATGAGACTGCCCAAGCCCTCTGGAGCCCACATCGGCATACCGAGTATTCCAGATACAAAGCTACAGGATTAAATGTTTGCCTGGCTCAGTTTTAATCTTACTTTGACCAGGAGTAGTATTTTAAGAGATTAAGGGTAATGTGTCTTTTACTATAGTTAAAATATTTTAAACATTTACATTTTTCAATACTATCTCATGTAACTAGGTTATTATGAAGTCTGAGTGTACATATACTTGACAGTACACTATCTCCACACTATTCAAGACTCAAAGTGGGAATTACTAAGATCTTTTTTACAAATATGTACTAAACCCTTATCATCTCCAACTCTCAATGCTGATAAATCAATGATTAGGGAACTTTCACTTTTATTAAGTAAGGCTTGCCCTCTGTTAAAATGAAGATTCTCCGCAAAACTCAGATTACTTCTTTCTTAAGCAACTGTATCTAAAGATTCAATTTCATCTTATTTCTCTAATAACGTTCTGAAAATTGTAATTCATTCCTCTGCATTTTATTCCTTCATAGTATCCAAAATAGCCATCAGTAAGATGGCTAACCCTTATACTTAAGTTCAAACCACTTTCTAATTCTCTTCCTGTTGCCACAAGTTGGGGTGGGGAATGACTGACAAAAAGATACTTGTGGAACGGCCCAGATGGTGTACTTTTTCTGTATGCTTGTTGTTTTATTATTATGGGGGGCCGGTTTAGAGACAAGGTCTCACTATACAATTCAGGCTGGCCTTGAGCTCACTTTGTAGCCCAGGCTGGTCTTGAAATTGAAACAATCCTCTTGCCTCAGCTTCCCAAGTGCTGGGATTACAGGTACGTACCACCATACCTGGCTTTCTTACATGCTTTTAATGATTAATGTGTACTTTTCATTTTATCAGTAAATGAAGAATGGCTGGAAGGGGAATGTAAAGGGAAAGTTGGCATTTTCCCTAAAGCTTTTGTTCAAGATTTTTGAAGACTGGGAAGCCATGGAATTGAACAGCACTTCTAGAGTAACCGAGGATGTTTCATGATCTACAAACTTCAAAAAAAATGAAGCTTATTTGTTCTCAAGATTTATACCTCTGCTGTGTGTTATGGAGACATTACAATTTGGTAGTGTTAACTAAAACCTAACTTTCTTGTTAAAATTTCACCTATTAGATAATATAAGAACTCAGGATAAAGATTTCCTGATGCAAGGAGAGGCAGGGAGTGAATAAGGATCTGGAAAAGCATGAGCAGGTTTTCTAGAATGCTGGCGAAATTGAAGATGCACTCGTTTTGTGAAAATTCACTTAAAACTGCACTTTTAATTAGTGCACATTTCTGTATATGTGATGCCTCCATTAAAAAAACTAAAGAAAAATCCAAAAAAATAAAACAAGACACCCAGAGGCCAAAGCTAAGTGGAAACACTCTCGCTTCTGTATGATTAATATCACAGACCTGCGAGGTTTCAGGAAACCTCACAGGTCCTCAGAAGGAACACACATATAAAACAAACCTGTTCTTTTTTTCTTGCCAAAAGTTTCACTGCTTAAACAGAACACAAAATCTACACTGAATTAGGCTTCCATGGAAAAACAGCATTCAATTCCACAGAGAATTGAAACACTAGCAATACATTGCTTTATGCCTTCTTAGAGAGGGACTTGTTAAAGAGTTCCGTGCTAAATACATTCCATAACAAGTTAAGTGATGAAAGTTATATTCAGGAAGTCAGTTGGTAAGTAGTATTCTACTATTTTATACCTATTCTTTATGGAATATATATAGGGTTAACTTGGATGAAGAATCCCATAAAAACTGGATTGTAAGACCTGGGCTTAATTACCTCTGCTTCTCCATACAGAATATGTAGGGGTTTGCTATTAGTTTTTCAAGTGGACAGGTGCTTATGGAAAGTGCAGTAAGGAGATGAGATGTAGACTGAATTAACACCTCAGCTGGAGGACAGGCAGTGTGAATCCTGGCTGCCAGCAGGCTGCGAAAGGTCTGGCAGGTTACCAGGAGAGACCTGGGACATGGAACACAACTAGAAGAAAAGTTACTCCAAGGCTAACACCATTGGTGTTAATCAGATTTAGTGCATTTTTATAGGTCAAAAGGATAAATTATCTTGAAATTGCCACATTAACAGCTAGAACAGGGATGAAAATGTGCTATTACTTTCATATAACTCACTCTTCCTCTATTAAATAAAAGAAAATCAGTTTTTTTCTATAATAATTCATTGGTTTAGAATGCCAAGAAAAGGGAAAATAACCCTGAAACACATTCAAGGTTTGATCATTTTTGCTTTTGTCTGGATATCCTGCGAGTAGCTGAATTCATTAAGCTAGATTTTCTTCAACACTGTATTTTTTAGAATAGGAAATAAATAATATACACAGATATGGTTGGAGAGAACATGGTTTAATTAAAGGCAAAGCTGATTTCAGCAGCTGCAGGTCTTGTACAGACAGACAAAGAAAGAAAAGAAAAAAGACCGCCCCCCCAAACATCAAACAAAAATTTCCCACAAAAGTAAGTGTACTACACAAAACCAGTTTTGGATGAAGATTCTCCTCCCCCTCCTCATTCCACCTGCAGTGAGGATGGTAAGGTAAGGGACCCCGCTCCAAGAATCAGAAAACATTCCGAACAGCAAATTCTCATGCAGAATGGGGCTGCAGATGGGAACTGGGCACTACAGGGAGGGAGACAATAAACCTGGTTAGCTTGTTTAGGGTGCAGGAATCAGTGACGGTTCAAACACTGGAATGTCGCAGCTGCCTGAATGCAGAGCTCACACAAACTAGGTAAAGGCAGTAGGGAAGACGGAGGTGGGGAAAGGGCGACACAGGGAAGGGGTGGAGAGAAGCACAAAGGACTCTTCATATTGTCATTAGACCGGGGAGGGGGGGTTACCCTTTCAGACCTTTCAAAAACAAAACAAAACAAAAGAAAAACCCTAAATACCATGTCAAACTAAAAGAGCAATAATGTAAGCATATGGGGGCGTCAACCATTCTTTCTGAAGAGCAATGAGCATTATCTAACCCCTTTCAATTGCTGGGGTTGCCCAGACTCCAGTGACAACTGGGGCTCCTTGATGTGCTTTGCTCTGCAGCCGTTCTCCAGCTAAGTTCCACACTAACTCCATACAGTCAACACACAACCCATTCCCTCCTGCAGGAGCAGACAGGTATGTGTGGGTGTACACACACGCACACACACACACACACACACACACTCACACACGCGCACACACGCACACAAAATGGAAAGACCTCCCAGAAAATAACCCCTACCACTAGCACAGCAATTGGACATTTAGATTGTTTCCATAATTTTCCCTTAAAATATGACTTTTCCAGGAAGTGACTAACAGAAATGCTGTCCTTCTGTTTCCACATAAGAACATCTTCAGTCCTCTTTCCTCCTAATAAATATCAAATAAAAAGTTTCTTTTCCTTTCTTTCACGTTTTCCCAAATGGTCTTCGTTGTGTTCTTCTTTCTTCACCAAGTGCATGTGTCCATGTGCCCAGAATCTCACTCTCGAAGTGGAGGCTGGGAGACTGCAGCTGGGCAGGGGCCTGGTCTCTCTGTGGCTATGCAGATGGTACTGCTTCCCTCCTCTTCAGACTCTCGGGCCCCAACTGCTGGACCCCGTGTGGTTGATCTTGGCGAGATGTCGTACACATTAGGAATAAAAACAATTACTAGCAAAAGGGATGGACACAGGTGCAGGAGGCTGGTAAGTAGGACGAGGGCACAAAAACTAACCAAACAAAAAATAACCACACTGAAAGCTTCTACCCAATAAAATGAGTCAGGCCGTGAATGGACTAGCCTGCCTTCTGTGAGACTGCTTGCTATGTTACTGCAAAAAGTACAGGAATCAAAAACATTAATTTAAAATCCTACAGCAGTCACCTGCTAGTCCAGCCCAGCACCAACACCCACACTGGATCCTCGAGGGCTCGAGCACCTACAGAGTGAAGGGCATTTCCTGCTGGAATCCTCAGGTCACAGAAGGGCTTGCCAGAACCTTCTGAGAGACCCTGTATTCTCCCCACAGAACACTTCCACTGGCTGAGGAGGCTGGTTCCCTATCCTGTCACCACCAACCTCTCACAGGAGCAGCGAGTAGGGCTGTCTTTGCTACACACTGACTAGAAGAACACCTGTGTATGGAAGAATTCAGTGTGATATTTTCCTATTGACAGTAATAACAATAATAAAAGATGTTTAGGAATAATTTCAACTACATTCTCAGTCAGCAAAGCAATCATTAATGGATTCCTATTTTATTCCCCAAAGAGGAAAAAAGGACTGAGAAGTTCCCATTGGCTTCTCCCACCTGCCTTCCCTTCTCAGCTTTCACTTCCCATGTGGCTGGGGACATGCACGACGGAGAAGGTGAGAGGTGGTGACATCAGGTAACTGAGTGAGACAAACAGCAGTTCCTCTCTCCCTCCAGAAGGACCTGGGGGGACGGAGAGTTCCTGATGGATTTTTCTTTTTGTTGCACTGCGGACATTTCGTGCACACTCAGCGGGCTGGTGGAACACTTACACCCTCTTGACAGCAAGGAACAGACAAGAGGGCTGCCACCTGCAGGGGACTGTTTGGGCCAGTCCTGCAAACCCAACATGCCATGGTTTACGGAGCCTTCGTTCCCAGGGCTGCACTTGACCTCAGTGTGGAGGGTTCATGGTGCCTTGTCCCCGCTGCTGCTTCTGCTTCTGCTGCATTAACAACTGCTCCAGAGCGGAGGGCCCAGGGTGCATCATGGAGCTGGACCAGATAGACTGCAAAACAGCCCACACCTTGTCAGCAGAGGTCAACTGCCTGCCTGATTGGGAATCTGTTTTAATCCCAGCCAGCTATATAGGCAGATATGCCCCAAGCATCTCATTCTCCCTTGTGAAATGCTCAGCTACTAGACTTCACTATAAGTCTCTTAAAATTAGTTTCCTATTAAAATTATTTTAAACTGTAAAGGTGAAATTATATATTTAAATGAAGTACTTCTGCTACAAGCTCCATGTGGCACCAGCTTTATGTTCACATAAAGGGTTTAGGCAAACAAATCATTTCTTTTTTTTAACTGGGAATTGAATTTAGGATCTTGCACTTGCCAGGAAGATGCCATGCCGCTGAGCTATATCCCCAGCCTCAAACAAGTCATTTATTATTTCATTTTATTTTTATTTTACTTATTTTTTTGGGATCAAACTCACAACCTCAAGTTTGGCACTTTTGCCCGAGCTAAACCCCTGGCTACAAGTCACTTCTTAAATTACAAACTTTTCCTTTACTTGGCCAGAAAAGACTTAAATATTCCAAGATGAATCAGAATTTTCTTAACCTTCTTATGCTTCTGATCCCCTGAAGAAACTTCTTTATCACTAGAGGATTCACAAGCTAAAACATAAATTCTACTTAAGACTCCGGAAAGACTGACCATATTTCTAGAAATTTGTAACATATATGCTATACATTTGTCAATTCTAAGTGCTGCAGAAATTAGGCCTAGCTTTCTAGCTGAGTCAAAGTAGAGATACCTTTGCTGATAGAATCTTGTGGTTCTTGTTCTGGAAATCCACTCACCTTGAGACTTTCCATCAGGACAGCAGAGGAATCCTCCATGGAAGGGCCATGGCCTGTCCAGGTGCCAATTGGAGTGCTGGCCTGATGCCAACTGCTCTCAGAGATTGATGTTGCCGAGAGATAATCAACACCAAACCCACCCATAGCTAAGGGATGAAAAGAGAAGAATTCAAGATGTTTATTACTGCCAAATAGTGCACCAAGTACTGGATAAGGACACTGCAAGTTACTTCACTTTCCCAAGATAATGAAACTTAGGATGTACCTGGTTTATCAGTTTTCCACCGATCTGCAGTCCTTCTATCTCTGTTATCTGGAGTCCCAATGGGTCCAAAATTGGAGAATGGAACCGAATTATGATTATGTGTTGGAGGAGAGCTAGGCAGGCTGCTTGGGTTAGAGGAATGAGGAGACTGGCTGGCTGGTGTCGAATGATCTATTGAATGATAGCAACATAAGTCACTGAATAGATGTTTCATAACCATTACAAGAACTATTCTCTAAACTCTACTAAAAATAACTATAGGGCTTTGGAAGAAGGGTGATTTAAGGGCCCCATAAATAAATCTGCCAGATGTACTAATTTGCTTACTGCACATATCTGTACTTTAAAAAAACAAAAAGTAGATACTTTTGTTAAATGAATACACTATTCTGGCTTTTTAGAAGCCAGGTAAGTTTCCAGTAAGTATCTACTGGTTGTTTATCAGAAACAAAATTTCTTGACGTTTAAGAATTACTATAAAATCGGACTTCCGGGAAAACATGGGGGACAGATAGCAGCAGCTATGGAGGCTCTCTGAAAGAACCAGCTTAGAATTCAGGAATGGTGCGGAGTAAGGAATCATAAGCAAGTGGAGATATGCCCTGCTGACCCAAGAACGAACTGGGCTGAGAGAAACCAACTTGGAATGCAATCCTGGTGCTATAACAGGAACAGAAAAGCCTCAATGTGGAAGCTGGAGCCCGCGGCACTGGAAGCCTCGATTTGGGTCTCCCACCACGGGGTGGCTGCATCTATATTGGCTCGGCAGGGAGAGAGACCCACGGAAGTTCTGAGAACGGGAATCGGTGAACCGAGTTGAAAACAGCACGGGTGGGGAGCTGTGCATTGACTTGCGGTGAGGTGAGTGAGAGAAACTGACACTCTTCCCACGGTTTGGGAGACTCCAACAGAGGACATTCTGGGACTGGGCAGACTTGCGGGAGCAGGGAGCAGGGCGCTGCGGCGACTTCAAACACGTATCCCCCTCTCAAGCGGGATTGGTGAGAAGTGCCTAGCCTACGTGACACTGCTGGCTGAGACCCAGTGGGCTAGCACAACCCAGATCCCAGAGCCTGAGGGTGACCTGGAGGGGCGGGCCCCGCATAGGCTGCCTGGTCTGCAACTTCCTGGTGTGCTGCAGTGGGCGGGAACACCTAGGCGGCGCAATTCAATCAGACTGTGGCTGACAGGAAAGGAAGCTAGGCCTCCTATATACGCTTGCATATATAAGGAACAAAGAATATGGGAAGAGGGAGCAACAAGAAAGGCCCTTCGGCCCCCAATCCTGAGAAACAGGCAATAACCACACCGCACCAATAGACATAAAGCACCATCTAGAGAGCCTCATAGATGAGTTCAGGAATGAAGTTATTAATGACCTGAAGCTAGAAATAAGCAGAATAGTTAGAGAAATGCTAAGCACCACCCAAGAAAAACAGATGGTGGAATGGAAGAACAGAAAAAGAGGGGAGAATTGTTTGATGGAGAATAATAGAGAAAGCATAGAATATGTGAAGCAGGTTCAAAGGGACTACCAGGAAACTAAAAACTCTATCAAAAACTGGCATAACAGCTTGAAAGAAACTAAGGACAGACTATCTGAACTGGAGGGCAGATTTGTAATATGGGAGAATGAAATGAAAAACTTCTTAAAAGTAACAAAGAAACAAACAGCAATAATGCAAAGACTAGAAGATGATAAGAGGATCCATAACTTAAGAATTAAGAACATAAAAGAAGTAGGGACACAAACAAATGAACTACAAAAGCTACTCACAGAAATAATCCAGGAGAATTTTCCTAATCTAGCAAAAGGTAAAGATACTCAGTTGTATGAAGCATACAGGACCCCAGCCACCTACAACCCAAACAGAGTAACACCCAGGCATATAATAATTAAAATTCCAGAAATTTAATACAAGAACAGAATATTAAAAGCTGTCAGAGACAAGAAACAGACCACTTACAAGGGAACACCCATCAGAATTACAGCAGATTTCGCTGCACAAACCATCAAATCACGAAGAGCATGGGGGGAAATAATTCAAGCTTTGAAAGACAACAATCTCCAGCCAAGATTGATATATCCTGCACAACTATCCCTGGAAATTGATGGAAAAACAGGGTGCTTCCAGGATAAAGAGGAACTAGGGGAATATGCAACCACCAGTTCAACTCTACAGAGAATACTGCAGGATATTCTAAAAAAGAAAAATACAAAGAATCCAGAAATAGTGGCAGAGAGGCCACAATGAATGGAGCAGAAAACAAAATGAAGAAGACAAACTGACAACTAATGACAGAAAAAGAGTTCAACAGAAATGAGGCAGAGAAGATTGGATGATAGGAACAGCTATTTGGAGAAAATGCCATCTTAATAGGTAATACTGATTTAGTATCATCTTGCTTTGAAGTCTCATCAAGCTTTTGTTCTTCTGTCTCCATTGGTCTAAACAGATTGTATCTTATTGGATTTTATTATGTATGATAGTATAAGCAAAAACTTTTAAAGACAAGGGGATTATATAGAAACCATTGTTCATTTTCTGTTAGTTGATTCTAAATACCCTGTAATGCTGTCATTCTCTTAAATGGTTTTACATTGTTTTGATATATTTGATGCTACAGTATACGAAGTTATACTCAAAGATTTCAAGGAAAGAGACAATATGGTAACTACTTTTATGTCAGGATTATCTTGTGGTGAAACACTATTCTGCTTAAATGGTTATGTTTTGATCTGCGCTGTTTTGCTGTTATGCCCTCTTTTATCTCAATCTCCACTTCATTATTTATTTTTTTATTCTTATCCTTTTAATTAAGGGAAAATAAATAAAAAATAGCAGGATATATTACAGTAACCCACTTTGACTTTCCATTATCTTGATTTAAAGCCCTGTATTACTCTCACCATCTTGTTTTTGACTGATGTCCCCCTATTTTGTTTTGCTTGATAGTACCAGGTTCGAAAGTTTAAGCAACAGCTGTGAAAACAGTGAGATTCGTTATGATGCCCATTGTCGTTGACTATTATCTACTTTTGAAGACCTACAATGTCTCCAATGTTTTGGTTTTGTCGGTTTTGTTCTTTACTGTTTTGTTCAATTGTATTATAACTGATGATATAGGCAATTCTATTAGAGATAGCGGGAGACATTATGGTAACCATTGTTGATCACCTGTATTATGCTTTTACATTATCTATTATGTCCACCCTTTTGATTTGATTGACTCTGTTCTGTTATGTCACATTTGGTTCTACTCCCTTCCAAAAAAGTAATAAGAACTGTGGGAGCAACAAAACCCAAAATGTGTAATTGTCCTTGTACAAAAGAGAGGAAAAGAAAGTGCTCTAAACGATATAACTGCATGTATATTTAAGTGTATAAGATAGATAATGATATCACTGAATTTTGTTGGATCATTGAACAGAGCTGTTTGCAGTTTCACTGTTGGAATGTCCACTTTACAAGATTTAATTTTGTGACTTGAACAATTATTTCTAAGGTGACAATACGTAATCCATTAACTAGTGATTTCCTACTGTTTATTTTTTTCTGTAAATCTGTATAACTTGTACCCTTTCTTTGCTTTTTTTTCCTTAAATAAAATAAAAAAAAGAATTACTATAAAATCAGACTATTATTTATAAAATTGGGATGAAAAGTCTGTATTTGAAAAAGTACAATTTTCTTTGTAATTTTCATCTACAAACAAAACTAAAACACAGCTAGAACCGTGACAGAACTCTTGTAATTGTGTTGGTTGTCTAGGATGCAAAAACATTTAAGGATTTATTACATGAACTAGCTTAGTAGACTTTTTTCTATTTTCTTTTAGAAATTACTTTTTTTACGGCTGGGGATTTAGCTCAGCAGCATAAGTGCCTGCCTGGCAAGTGCAAGTTCATGAGGTCAATCCCTCATGACCTCATGGGGGTCAAAACCCCCCAAAACAAGAAAGAAATTACTTTGCAAAAAATTAATATAATTATAGGATCCTATTAACTCTTTAGTCACCTGGAATGTACAGAAAAGGAAAGGTTTATAATTTTAAAGACTAGTTAATACCTGAACTGGCAGGAAGTGATGGGGACCATGGAGTCCCTTCAAAAAGGGAATACAGTGATGTTTCCTGGGGGGCCATCGAGGGATTAAGCTCTGCTTTGGAGCTGGCTGTCAGGTTCTTCCCATAAACCTCATTGAACATGCTATTATTTGGGTATCTCTCCTGAAAAACAAAATAGTCAAAGTATAAACTCACTATGTGAAAAGAGAAATTTAAGAAAATGCAATGTTATATTCCTAGATTCCTAAAGCTTTTCTTAGTGAGACAAACTTTTAGGCTTTTATTTATTTTAGTATTCTCTCACACTCATTTCCCCTTTGCTTTCTCTTCCCCTTTAGTCTGTTCTATATAAACCACCCAGATTAAAATATATATGAATAATTCACCTGGTTAAACACAGAACCATGAGGATTTCACTGTTAATGAGAAGTTAAAGGGTTCAAACTCATAATATGCAGGTCACTAGCCTGCCCCAGTCAGAGGGAAAGGGATAAAATCAAGTATCTGGAAGATACCAACATATGGAAAAGGAGGGGAAGAGAAAGACAGATATACTGAAATACAAATGTGAAAAAAGTACCAATGTATTATAGAAATTCAAAACAAGATTCTTAACTGTTTACCCACCTGATTGAGAGAGAATCCGGTGAGGGACAGGAAAGAGGATGAATGTGACATGAGCTCTGAAGGCTTCTCCAATAAGGATTTCTTCACAGCCCCAGAAAGAAAAGTATTAAGTTATGCCTCTACTTTCTTTCTTTTCCTTTTCTGAGACAGGGTCTTGCTATGCAGTTCAGGCTGGCCTTGAGCTTACTTTGTAGCCCAAGCTGGTCTCGAACTTGCAATAATCCTCCTGCCTCAGCCTCCCCAAGTGCTGGGATTACCAGCTTTTTTTTTGAGACAGGGTTTTTCTATGTAGTTCAGGGGCTGGTCTTAAACTCACAGCCATCCTCCTACCTCAGTCTCCTGAGTGCTGGGATTACAGGCATGTATCACCATACCTGACCTCCTCCTACTTTCTTAATATTAATCTTAAAATACTATAAAATCAAAATAAAAGAACCCTCCCATTTAAACATACTTGTACTCAATGTGTACAATATAATATTTGGAAGACATGAATTCAAATCTGTTAATACCATGATACCAGCTAAAGGCAAGTTGCTACACATGATCAAAATCCTTTACCAAGTGTATCCAGTCTAGTGCAGAGATTGGGAAGGAACTAAAGACTCTGGAAAACAGAAGTTCTGAGTGTATTTTAGGTATCAACCCCAGGAATCCACTTGTCAATAGCTCCACTTAGATGAATTTCAAAAACAAGCTGAAATGTTTTAGCATTGTTTACTGTCTAAATTCTATAGCAATGATGCCAGATGTGGTGGATCACACTTGTAGTATCAGCACTCAGGGGGATGGAGGGAGGAGGAATACAAGTTTGAAGGCAGTGAGTTTTGAGTAAGCCTGGACATAAGAGAAACCCTGTATCAAAAGCAAAACATAACAAAACATTGACACGGATGACTTAAAGGAGCTGTTCAACTACATCTGACAAGTTTTGTTTACGTATTTGCCAAGTAGCTACTTCTGTGGTACTTATTAAAATACTGAAACATTAGGCTACTGTCTATTTACCCCAAGAAAGCTATGAACAAAAAGCTGGATTTCTAATGCTCACTGCCACAAATTAGTGTGTTAATGAAATGTTCACCTACTGTATGTGAGGCATTTCCACACACATTACACCGTCAGCAGCGTTAAACATAAAATGGGTTATCATCAAGTTTTTTTCTGTGTTTGTAAATATGAAAACAAAGTGAAACAAAAAATTGCTCCACACCAGCTCCATTCCCAGTGGTAGCATCAGGAACAACACAACTTAAAGAAGGAAACAAATGGATAGAAAGGCGCCATCTTCAGTATCCCAGGCCCTTCCAGCTGGAAGCAGAAAAGGCACGGCAGCTTAGGCAGCAGTGCAGCTGCTGGATTTCATGCCTTTCGTACTCCCAGCCACCACTCCACCACCATTTAAATTTTCAGGGGAGCTCTTTATTGTCAGTTTTGGAGAAGACCTCTACTGCCACTCACCCAGGCAAATTCTTTCTTTTTTTTTTTTTTTTTTGTCTTTTTCATTTTTCTTGGTACCGGGGATCGAGCTCACAACCGCCTGTTTGCAAGGCAGGTGCTTATGCCGCTGAGCTAAATCCCCAGCCCCCAGGCAAATTCTTAAGTGAATTTTCAAGAGATGGCAGAGATGACAGCTATTGTCATGAAAGTTGTCAAGTTTTTATTTTTCCTGATACTATAATTAATGCATTTTAATCTTATAAATGTCTCCTTGGTCTATGTCTACAGAAATCAGCAGGAAAGAACAACTCAAAATCTTTAAAATATAGTGAAGGGAAATGAAAAGACTCATGGCACACCATCTTCGTTCCCATCACCATCACCCTCAGTGAAATACAATGCAAATAGTGATAAGCACAAAGAAATGCAAGCTGGTTCTAGAAGATTATTTCTAAAAAGAAGTATTAGTTAATCCTTAAATTTTATATTATCTTACTTATTTTCATATCGACCTACTTATGGTATAGAAGCCTTCATTTTTATTCATTCTATTTATGAAAACAACTCTAAATTGAGTTCGGTCAGCCAAACAGAAAAGAGTTACACACTGCTCAATGATGTTAATTTTTTCTTTGTTCTTTTTGAGAAAGGGTTTTGCTATTCAGGTCAGCCTGGCCTAGAACTCACCTTGTAGCTCAGGCTGGCCTCAAACTCATAGCAATCCTCCTGCCTCAGCCTCCTGAGTGTTAGGATTACATATATCCACCACCATGCCTGGCTTAATGTTGATTTTTAAAAATCTAGGTTTTTTTCTGCTTCCTGCCTGTCACGCTATGAGCAACCTGCCTCTACCACGTTGCCCTGTCTAGGAGCCAGCCAAGTGGTGAGGCAGCATATCATGATGAAAAACCACTCACTTCATGGATGGAAAACAGCAGAGGGAAAGAGAAAGAAACTTGATCTTACAATTTCCTTTGAGGGCAGGCTCCCAATCACCGCAAGACATCCCACCAGCAAAGTTTCCTCTACCTCTCAGTAGTAACAAAATAGGGACTAAGATTTTAATACACAGGCCTTTTGGTGATATCTAAGATTGAAACCATAGTGCTTGTCATGATGCCATCTGAAGTTAGGCCCTCACCCAGAAGGTGAACCAATGAGGCTATCAATTTTGGACTTTTAGTTTCCAAGAGTCTGAGCCAACTAAGTCCTCACTTTCTTATCAAGGATATAAATCTAGAAATATTTCCTTCCATATTTCATATACAGGTAGAACACAAATTTTACCATCCCTAGGCTAGATTAAATGACAGCTGAAACTTCTGGATCCAGATGGAAGTAGCACCCAAAACATGAATGGTTAATTTGCTAGTAGCACGCCCCACGTCTGACCAGCCCTGTGAGATGCTTCCTGAACAGCGCATATATATATGACTATATATGACTCTACAACTTGAGCTAACTAGAGTTAGAAATATTTTCCATGTTTTACTACTATCTGAATATTAGTTTAAGCCAATCAGGAAATTTTCTATGCTTCTATAAAGAGGGAAAGCCCCAGAAAGAAATCACCTTTGATACAAAGTACTACAGAATTTTAGAAAAGCTGGGGTTAGAACAAGAAGCAGAATTACGTCAAATACATACAAAGAGGCTTCGTCCAGGAAGAGAGGCGAGAGGCCCCAGCAGAGCTGGGTAAAGATCAGGAGGGTTAGAAAATATCAGCTCTTCCTCTTCCTCCAAGGCAGCCAGACTCTTTAACAGGTCCGGAGGAAGCAAAGGGGAGCCCTTAGGGTCCTAGTGACAGAAAGGATTATAGTAAGATGCAATTAAGCATGACAAAAGCATAAAGGAGCACTAGTAATGTTAGGTGGATAAGGCAACTAAAATCAAGGGTAGGGGAATTATCAATAGTGAGAGACAAAGATGAAAAGGTTTTAAAATATAAAATAAAGTGACATAAGTACAGTGGTGGAAAAAGATCAAGACAACAGAAGAAGCAAAAATACTGACAAGCAAACATAAAAGGTTAATGTGGTTAGTGATGAAAACAACACAATGCAGCAAGATGAGCACATTTCTGTGTAAACAAATACAGTAATAGTTCTTTTAAAAAAGCAAACCACCTGTTTCTCATGAATAAGAGTAAGGAAAAGGAATTCAACTGTCTAAAATAACTGGCTCAGAAAGCAATTTGTCTAAAAGCCAGTAAACCTATTTTAAAACTTTAACCAGCCCAAATGACAGGATCACTTTGTCTCAGAATTTTCTCACATGCCACGTAAGAGCCTTCTGCATATTTCTCTGCAAGACCATCACATTTTAGAATCAGATATAGAATTATTCAGCTCCCCAAACTAAAACATACTATGTAATTTTAAAAAGACTTACTGCTCTAATTCTAGTAATTTGGAGTGGCCTTTTTACTTTTATTTTTTTGGTACCGGAGATCAAACTCACAACTGCATGCTTGCAAGGCAGGCACTTATACCACTGAGCTAAATCCCCAGCCCCTGGATTGGCCTTTTTAATATCTATTTTTTACACACAAGTATTGTAACTTTTAAGTGTCAACTTAAAAATATAAATAAACATAGTATCTATTTGAGAAATCCAAAAGACACACAAACTTAGGCCTATCTCCAATGACCTATGGACAGAAAAGAATACACACCTCAAATGGCATCCTGGGCACAGGATCCTGCTCTGGATGGAAGACTCCTGGGGACCGTTTGCCCCTGCGGTCCATGTTTGCTTGCTGTGCCATGATAGCTCTGTTATCAGCCATGCTGTAGGAAGAGTCCCAGTAGAATTCTGGGACTTTGACTTCTGAGGGGTTATGGTTATATGGCTCCATGGGAAAAGGCTTCATTTTTTTCTCTAGAGGCTGCTGCTGCATTACAGGAGGTTGCAATGACGGCTCAAACAGTTTTATGGGGTCTTGGGTCTGAAGGTAGTAGGGCTGTTTCACAGGCATGATTTTCCCTAGTGGGCCTTGAACCTGAGGGGGATTCCACAGCTGTTTGGAGGCATCTGACGGTTGATACTAAAACAAAAGAGTTCATAATCAAGATGGAGATAAAATGCAAAGTTGCTTATAATCAACGCTCAAGTATGACCAAATGAACTTGAAAGATTTTACAACAACAAAAAACCCTCTAGGCATGCAGCCGTTTCCTTTATTCTTCGAGTTTTTCAATACACATCCATTTCTGGGCAAGGACTATGTATAGCAAAGTTATATTCTCTTCAAATCAGAGGTTCAATGAATGATTAAGTGCATATATGAGAGACAGAGAGGGAAAGGGAAGAGAGAGTTTCACCCTTCTGCTTTAAGTGGTGTGGGAATGACAGTAAGACTGATGTTATATCCATCTCAGTACTTCAACACTATGATTTCGGTTTTATTCTGTTATTTATTTTCAAAGAAGAATTATTTACAGAAAATCTATAAAGTTGGCAATTAGTAGCAGCAAAGAATGATAGTGAATGTTTAAATATTATCTTTTATGAATAAAGAAAGAAAACATTTGAACTTTCCTAACAGTAGAGAGAAGACTTGTATTTCTAAAACCGTAAGTCTGACCAGGAAGCATCTTAAAATTTAGTGCACCACTGTCCAAACACTGAGTCATTTCAGTGTTTCCCATTATTCCACCTTGTCAGATCACAGCAGTACCTTACCTGCTGGAATCCAGAGTGGTGAGGTGGGCTTTTCCCCAAAGCTGGCACGGCTTTTGTAGGGGATTGCTGCTGAGCTAGAGCTTGAACCTGCAACTGGCTTGTAGACTGTGCTGTTGGCTGAGCTGGTAAAGATGTAAGGGGTTGCTGGGAAGGTGGCTGTGATTGTTGAGGTCCCTGGTTCATTGGCCCTGGTCCAGAGGGCCGTTGCTGGCTGTAAGGAATGTGGGACTGTTTCCCAGCTTGCACCTGGTTTCCTGCTGGAGAGTGAGCTGCAGACTGAAGAAAGGTTCCTGGGACAGAAACACCAGCTGGGAAGGTGTAACCTGAGCCCATAGAAAATGCCACAGGAGGCGGGATAACATATGTTGGGGGCGGGAACCCTTCAAAATAAAAGAACACAGCTTTAGTTCTAAAGAAACATAGAAAAAAACAAAAGGAGAAAAAAGTCATCTTTTTCGGGGGAGGGGTCACTAACAAGAGCAACAGATCAACCATGTCAATTTCAAACATGATTTTAAGAATTAAATACAGACTACTGACTTTTTTTCTATCCACTGAAGTAATCAGTGTTCTAAAGCTGGGTTCTCATGTTTAGTGACAAAAATTCTGTATATGAGCTACAAAGAAGCATCACAAAAATAATTTCATTAAGCCTTAGGAAATTTATACTTCGTAACATTACACTTAATAACATCATTCTAAGAGCATATATTACTCAGTAAGTGAGCAGAAATCCCCACACAGATGGTATTAGGTAGAAGAAATCATAACACATGGCACACCTGGACGGCTGGGAAGAGGAGGGAAGGCTCCAGGATGATGAATGGGGATGAACTGGGAGTTACTTGCTTGACTTGGGGTTTGAGTTACAGGTGTTTTCCTGGCTTCGGACACTGGAGTTTTTCTTAGTTCTGTCTGAGATTTTACCTATAACCAACAAAGGCAAAATTAACTACAAAACCTGGAACTCAAAAGTGTCAAAAAGTGTTCCTATTCCTAAGAAAGTGCTTACAACATTTTTGTATCAAAATGCACATGCTGACAACATTTAAATTAACCTAAATTAAAAATCAAAGTAGTTCAAACATTGTTTAACTAATGAGCTTTCCATCAGTTTGGACTCAATCTAATTTCATCTAGGGAGCTAGGTGTACAGTCAGGGCCCACACTCTGCCCTGCAACTTTAGAAGAACACATAAAGATAATTTGAGGAATAAAGAAACAGCCCAAGATCCTATACCTTGATCAAGAAAGAAACAGATGCCATATGTACTGCTCAAAGTTGAGTGAAAACAGGGAAAAGCAGCATTTATAGAAAATTTGGAATAAGACAGTGTGGTGATATATTACTTGTCAGGTTTTCTTGATTTATAGGCAGATTTGAGATGGAAAGGGCCTGGAAAAGTGATCCTATTATCAGTCTGGAGCTTAGTGGAAGAGTATTGCACAGAATGGAGGAAGATTAAGCAAAAAAATGCCGGGTTGTTCCTAAAATATGATCCTTTGGCTTTCCAGTGCTTTTCTTTTTTTTCTTGCCTTTTCTCAGCACCTCTCTTTTTTCACATCTTTTCTATAATTTCTATCATTTTTTTCTCTTTTTCTTCCTACTATGAATCTTAAAATAGTATTATTTTGTGTTTTTAGAGAAAGAAATTGAGGATACGATTTATATACAAGTAACATTCAACAGTGTAAGGTTCCTCATGCAAACACATACATTTGCCAAAATGTTAACAAGTTACATGGCTATTTAAGTATAACATTAAAACATTAATGGGTGTTATTACTAAAGCCAACAAAGAGTGAAGACTCTTTTCTGTTTATATAAGCTTATCTGTGTTTCTTTGGAAAGGTACAAAATAAAACAAAGTTACAAATAACAACATTATTTTTCGTGGGTAAGAAACTTGAATTATACTGTATAGTAAATCATGGGTGGGGGGACATGAAAAACTGCATAACCCTTAATATACTTTTGGTTTCACAAAAGACCCTAATCTCCATTGTAACATTAACAGTTGGTAATGATACCTGTCAAAGAAAAATATCTTGTGTGAAACTGAGGGCTCCACAACAAGTCATCTCAAGTCACTTAGAGCTGATAAAAATTTCAAATAAGGGGGCTGGGGATTTAGCTCAGCAGCATAAGCGGCTGCCTTGCAAGCAGGCAGTTGTGAGTTCGATCCCCGTTACCGATAAAAAGGAAAAAGACAAAAAAAAAAAAATTTTCAAATAAGGTTGAGATTTCACTTACATAATCATTTCTAAGAACTGATAAAGTAACCATCTACCAGTTATTCATCTATCTTGCTATAGATTCAACTAATGCATTTATATTTCAGATCTACTAAAGCTCAACGTTTTAGAAACAAAATGAAGTATCTTGCCTTCTGTGTGAGCCTTCCTCTACCTCCTTTATAGTTCAAATACAGCTTACCTGCACTGCCACATTCTGCTTTCCTGTTTCCTGTAACTTTTCTAAGGTGCATTTCTTGGTTTCAGTTTTCCTCTTGTTGTTGTCCTTCTTTCCATCATTCTTAGTTACAGTTATTCCATTGCTACAGTCCCTTCTCACCTCTTTGGGAGGAAAAGTTCTTCCTTGGTCTCTGTTCACTTCTCGTGGCTTAATATTCTCTTTGAAGGTGACCACTGGTTTCTCTCCTGTGTCACAGTTGTTGCTCAGATTTCGGCCTGTAGACAGCACTGATTTCAGTCCTGGGCTCCCATCAGCAACCAGAGACTCTATCACAGATGTTTCTTGCAGAATGAGGTTCTCTTTGGTTTCACTGGGGTCTTCCAGTATTAATTCTGGGATTTCTGTGATAAACAACAATTTCCCTACCTCATTTTCACACTGAATCAACCTAAAAAGTAAAAATAAATACATATATGAAAAACATAAACCTAAAAAACAGTAACTTGACCAATTCAGAGAGTCACATAGATTCCTTAGTCCTAAAATGTACAGATAACAGGATGTAACAATATGGACATAGGTAACACAAAAAGTAATAATACAGAAATTCATTATCACTTCACATTACCACAGAACATTTCTCTATTTCATGTATGCTAAAATTATAGTTACATTTATTGAGCTGTTTTAAGTACAGAACAAGTCTTAAGCCCTTGATATGTCCCATAGTAGATACACGTAATTCCCATTTTATAGGTATGCAAATGGAAGCTCAAAGGTGTTAAGCTTATTCAAACACACAACCATTTAAAAGATGTTTACTGTATGACAAGAACTTGAACACAAAAATGAAACAATAGGTACTGATTTTGGAAAGGGTATAATCTATTCAAGAGATCCCAAGGACATAAACCGAGAAAGTGGCTGAACTAGAAACTAAACTCAAATTTATCTGATTCTAAAACCTGTGTTCATTCCATTACTCCCTATCTATCACATCCATCCCGTATTTAACTAGCTACCATTATCATCCTGGTCTGCTCTGCTCACCTGACCATGGTGTCTTGCCTGTACAAACCACTTTAACTGAGAATATACAAAGCATATATGTAATATTTTCTGGTGCTGGGATGGAACCCACAGCATAGTATACAGAAGTCAAATACCCTACCATTGATCTATACACGTAGCCCCAAATCGGTGTTTACGGAATAGAAAGTTAAGATAAACAAGGGAGGCAAGGGCTGGGGACAGCTCAGCAACACAAGCGCCTGCCTCACAAGCATGAGGTTGTGAGTTCAATTCCCGGTACTAAATCCCTCCAACCCTCCACACTCCCTAAAAACCAAGGGAGACAAAAACAATTCCTGTATAACAAACAGTATAAATGAAGAATATGCTAATGATTAGGTCATGATTAGATGATACAGTACAAATACTTTCATAATCAACAGCATCTATTCTAAGCTAATATACATGAGGGAGGGGTATGTGTGTGTGTGCCGATTAAAAAGGAATAGACAGAAGCCCCACTGACATACCTTGGCTGATTATCAGCAATCCATTTGCCTATAGAAATTAAACGCTGCTGTCGTATTCGTCGCTGCTGACCCCCTTTATCTCCTGTAATACCCTGATGGCCTTTGGAAAAATCCAAGTTCCTAAAATTGACATAGCAAATTATAGAATGTTAAAATCAAATCTCCAGGGATAGGGGATATAGCTTAGTAGCAGTATATTTGTGTAGCATGTGCAAGGTCCTGAGTTTGATTCCCAGCACTGCAAAAACAAAACAAACAAAAAAACCCCTAAACTAAAATTTTACACAATTTTAATGTGGCTGTGGCTAGTGAGGCCAAAGTAGTCCAGCCCAAAGAAAGGAAGGAGAAAATTTATTCATTAATTCATGTATTTATTTACAGGTAACCTAATTTACCTGCAATGGCTTTAAAATGTTTTCCATACAGATTAGTTACTTAATGTAATCAGTTGTTGTTTGAATTTATACTTGCCAAGATTTTAAATACAATGAAATACGCAAACAAAAAATATGTTTATTACATTAAAATATTTATATTTTCCTTTCTAGTTAAGGACCTCAATTAAGAGTCTCAATTAAGAAAAAGAGTCTGCCATTTTAAGAGTCATGTTTTGGGCTGGAGATGTTATCAATGGTACAATACTGGCCGAGGCCTCATTTCAATTTCCAGTACACGTTTAAAAAAGAATAGAGTTATCTGTTCACTTTGTGGTACTAAAGATTGAACCCAGGGCTTCCACTGAGCTAAACTTACATACCAGAATAGTTTTCTAAACACATTGCCTTCTAAAATTTACACAAAATGACCATGGCAATACTAAGTATATCTGAGGTAGCTATTCTAATAAACAGTATTAATCTATCCACCTTAAGATTCCCATCCTAAGTCAGAAAAACAAATACACATATATATCAAGTATAAACTAAATAGACATAAAAAGAGTAAATCAACCCGAAAAAAAATAATTTTCCAGATTTCACATTAAACTTAAAAAAAAAATAAAAATTTTTTTTTTAAATTGCCAGATGGTAGGTTAGAGGACAGGGACACGAAGATAAAGGAATAGTTCCTACTTTCAGGGGAAAAAAAACCAGTATTATTTAATCCGATGAGCAGAGTAAGAAAACAAAGTAAAAGGATCAGTTGCTTCCAACCAGCTCTGAAAAGGTTTCACAGAGTAAATGATACCCGAGCTGGATCTTGACAGGTATGGGTAACTGCTTACCAGACTGGTGAGCAAAGGACAGGAATGAAAAGGGAACCTAACTGCCAGCGGTGATGAAAAAGTAGAAAGGAAAGTCCATACAAAGAACTCTCTAGAGAACAACATTCAGATGCATGTACAAAAGACAGAGTAAAAAGAAAACTAAGGTAGGAGAAAAAGACTAATGTTACAGAGCTCAAGAAAAAGATTTCATGAACGAAGGGGATCAACAGAATCAATGCTGAATACAACTCGACAAGAATGAAAATTAAAATGTTCTGGAATCTAGTATCTAGGAGGTCACTGATTATGTTGCTCAAGGTAAAGAAATGACTAGAAGTTAAGGCAGAATCAACAAAGTTAGCCCACACTCCTCTTAAGAACAATGACGAAGAAGAGAAAGATGGGGGTCATGATGGAATACACGCAAACGTTACTTGGCTAAAAAGAGACAGTTGGTTTAAACATGAAAATGAAAATGATACTAGAAGAACAATATGGAGAGGACTAAAAGATGAAGCAAGGTTCTGAGACAGGCAGGATGGAACGGGACAAAGCGGGTACAGATAAAAGGATTAGGATTAAAAAAGTAGTTAGAATTTATTTCTTTGAAAGTGGAAGGAAAGAGACAAAAAAATTCAGTGACTAACACATGGAAGAAACATTTTCCCTCACTTTTTACAAATATTTTCTTAAAACACTCAGTATTATATTTTTTTACAAATATTTCTTAAAGCACAGGAATTAAAGGCATGACATACACAAATCCATTTCATATCAACAAATTTCATCATTAGTTGCTGTTATTAAAGACAGATTTGGAACAGACCAAAGATTTCTCTATACCCACGCCTGGTTCCTATTACTTTTAATATTGTAACCAATAAAATAAACTTCAGCCAGCAGCCCACCTACCTGAAAGAAGGTCTCAAAGCTAAGAATCCTTGTAACTCAAACTCCTCTGGAAGCGGTGTAGCTATGTAAGAGAGAAAATCCAAATTTGTAAGCATTTTAATTAAAATAAAGGGAGGGTTCAGGACATACAGAAAGAATCTATACAAAAATAATTCATCTGTAAAATTCTGTATGTTACTTTTGGGGCCCAGACATCGCCCTAATATCCAGATAACACTGAGTGCATGGAGGATGAGTCTAATAGGCTTTATCAAACACTCTTAAAAATTCATAGCCTCAGATCTAGTAACCCCAATGTTTAGATCACCTACCTCTTTTTACTTAAAATACAGAGTAACACATGCCATTCCTGGGAATTTATAAGAAATATAAAATCTTGGTCACTAACTGAAACCTATTGAATCATAAGCTATACTGTAACAAGTTACAGCTGACTCACTCACAAATTAACCACTGACCTAAATGGAAAAATAATGAGAAAGCAGTCAAGCCTCAGGTTGCTCAGTGTAGCAATGGAGGAAACTTTAAAGCAACACAGGAATAGAATATGGCACATACAGAGGATGGAATATTATGAAGCCAGTAAAAACATTTTTAAAATGTTTACAGAGACAAAAGAAAATGCTAACAACATGCTATGTTAAATTTGAAAAGCAGGCACAAGGCTGCTATTTGCTATCAACCATTTCTCGTGTTTATTTATAACAAAAAGGCCTGAGGATATATTAATGTGGAGAGTATGAAGTACTATGAGAACAGACAGACAATTCTTAAATGTTTACATTAGCCGATTTTTTGAATAATGTCTCCATGCCCCCGTTTCGTAGTAAGAAAGAACAGGACTGGTAGAAGATGGAAAGAATTTAAAGATATCATGTAGTGTGTGGACCCCACTCGAATGAAGCCATTCTAAGCTGCTGAAAGCACTGGAAGAACATCATCTCTATTTTCACTCATTTAACCAGTTGAGAGTTCAGTCAATTTCTGAAACACTGAATTTAAAGTCAAAGATTTTGCACCAAAGACTGATTTTTCTCTGGCTTTAAACCACTGGTGACAGATACACACAACAGTGTGTGGTCTGGGTACCCCTTACCTACCATTAGTACTTGAGAGATCCTCTTCATGGGGATGGAAACTATTTAGAAGAGAAATTAGCCAGGGCCAAATGCTATAGATTAAAGAAAGAGTTGAGATTTTATTATTATACAAGAGAAATTAGAATGCTACTAAGTCACAAAAATGGTATCTATAGCACCTGGTTTTCTTGTATTTTTCCTTCATGTCAGCATTTTAAAGGCTGTGTAATTCTCTAAAATATATTTTCAAAGACATCTAACTACGATGCACTACAAGGGCCAACTGCTACTGTACATTTCTTAGGTTCCTAATTTAACAAACAGTAAAAATAACACTTTATACACTGAGAACTGGTATTGAGTAAGAAAACTCTGACGAGAAATAACAACATACTATGTTTTCATGGTGGTTTCACATACATGATCTACTATGGAACCCACTGCTAGATCTCTAACCTGAGTTACACCACACTTAAATCACATTCTCTACTCAAAGTGCTAACAATGTTTTATTCTTTATGATATAAAAAAAGTCCATATTGCTATGCTACTCTAGTCTCTGAATTCTAGGCTAGAAAAAAAAATCACCACACAGAAAATAAAAACAAAAACAAAAAAGAAATCACTGCTCACAAATACAAAAACTTTATAAGCAAATGTAAAACACAGAATTATTCTTTCATAGCATACTTTACTGAACAAAATAGAAATTTGAATTGTAAACTACATAAAAGTACATAACTAAACTACATAAGAGTAGAGAAGCTATACAGCCTGAGTTAAGAAATGAAACTTTTATGCAAAAAACCAATGCCTGGAACTCTGTTATTACTAAAGCCTACACTCACATCCAAAGGAAATATACAGAATATTCTTTTATGTACTCAAACTCTACTCATGACAAAGTCAAAAGTGAAGATGCTTACAGTTGGATAAGAGAAAAACAGGAGAGGGAGTTGTCAAGTAGAAGGATCATAGGGCTTTAAAATCAGATCAAACCATTTTATTTTCTAGGTTGTGACCTTGGTAGATACATACAAAAAACTCTTACTGCTGGGCCATAGGAGAAATCTCAGAGATTTCCCTTAAGTTTATCACCAAGTACATACTGTAAAGTCTACTCACTGAAAAGTTTTCTTAAAAATATGTATTCCTAACTCAAAGGTACACTGAAAGTTTTCATTTGCCACTATAAAGTAAGTAGTTTTAAAGACCTTTTAGCATTACTTATTACTTTGATATAGTTAAGAGGCACAAATCCCTGCCCAGCAAGTACAAGGTGCTGAGTTTGATTTCCGGTACCAAAACAAAAATAAAACAAAACAAAAAATTACTTAAGAGTAGGAATTACAGAGAAGATGATCAGAGTAAAGAACTTTTAATCTTCTGTATTTAGAATAAGTGTCATTCAGATTGGGAATGACTGTAAGGCTACATCCGTTTATATAAAAAAAAATTTTTTTTTAAATTCCCCTTTTCAATTCCTAAAAAGAAAATCTGGGCACAATGTACTGCTTAAGGAACATTGTATGTCAAACTGATTTTTGAAAATTCCTTTCTCCCAGGATGGCAACTGAGAACAGGGGAGTGCAGAGAAAGTTGCGCATCTTACAGAGAACTAAAATAAATAAATAAATGATAAGTACACAATGAGGTTTTCAGTTCAATTTCCAGAGTAGGCAGAAAACACAAAGCCTTTCATTGGTCAAACGTTGTGCTTTAGAAGGCAGTTTTTACACATCTGCAAGTATTAAACAAAGCATACCAGCTACCATGAAATTTTCACTTACTACTGTCTTTCATCCACCACTGCCTCCTGAAAGACTCTAGGTCTGAGTCTCAGCCAGTCCATGGAGACTTTGACCGCTGGAAGAGGATAGGCATTGTATGTCTCCTCCTGGGACTCGTTTTGAAGGGGACACTTGCACAGGGTGCCAAGAAAAGACACTTAAAAAGAAAAAAATATATATTCAGAAAACGTAAGATATTTGAAACTATATTTCAGCTCAAATTAAATATCATTGTAAGCCTTCTGTTGTATACTCAAGTTTTTTTCTAAAAAGGCATTTTCTTTTCCTTGCTAAAAAAATGTTACTAGACCAGGCACAGTGGTGCACCACTGTAATCCCAGCAATCTGAAGGCTGAGGCAGGAAGATTACTGTGAGTCTGAGGACAGCCTTGGATACACAAGAGACTTCAAAGCCAGCCAGAACTACATAGTGAAACCCTGTCCCAAATAAATAAATAAATAAATAAATAAATAAATAAATAAATATCAGGTTGATTGGGGTGGTCATCAGATGAATTGACAGAATTTGGGATTTAGGTCTCCTGATTTAATATTAAACACAAGACACTTTTCAGGTATCATTTTGTTTTGGCACATTTAAAAAAGGACTAAGATAATGCTTTCCTAAGAAGATGGCACCTGTTAAATAATTTAATACTCACTAAAGAGGGCCAATAACTGTGTCCAACATAGCTGCTCATCTTGGCTATAACTATGCTGCTCTGTTTCATTGCTAAAGTCACGGAGGTGATGAAGTTGAAACAGGTTAATGACAGTGACATGAACTAACTGCTGAGAGTTGAAAGCTTTTTGGAATAGCAGCCTCTGAAAAGGAAAAGAAAAATGCTATATATACTTTATATATATATATATAAATGGTATATACTATCAAGAGAAGGAACAATCTTAGACACACAAATTAAAACAGTAGTCTACATTTAGTACCACATTAACTCTTTGTATTTTAGTTGGACCTTATTTCCAAGCTGACTCTTTCCCCTGAAAAGAATTCGTACACTAATGAGTTGTTTGAACTGTTCATCAACAGTTTTTCTACTAAAAAATATGTATTTTTTTTTTTATGTGATCAGAAGAAAAAAATTGGGAAGGGGTGTTTCTATCTATAAATTCATATACTTTAACTCATTAGAAGTACTTTTTTTTGTCTTTTTTGAGACAGGGTCTCGCTATGCAGTTCAGGCTGGCCTTGAGCTCACTTTGTAGCCCAGGCTGGTCTCGAACTCGCAACGATCCTCCCACCTCAGACTCCCAAGCAGTGGGATTACAAGGCGTGAGTCACCACACCCGGCCCATTAGAAATACTTTAAGAGAAGGAAAAAAAGTGCTCTAAAGGATACAACTGCAAGTGTGTTAAGGGGTGTTAAATAGCTGACCATATTAATGTTTTTGGTTGGATCATTGAACACAACTGTTTGCAGTTTCTCTGAATGTTCACTTTGTATGCTTTGATACTGTGACTTGAGCAACTATCTCTAAGACGATAATGTGTAATCTATTAATTGATGATTTCTTACTGTTTTTTTTGTAGTTCTGTATTACTTGTACCCTTACACCACTTTGTTTTGTTTTTTCTCTTTTTCCTTTAAGAGATGCATACTACTAACTAGTAAATTAGGAGGAACAATCTCTAAAATACAGGATAAATGCAGACGTTATTAGGATGTCTTACGGTTCCTATACAAGTTATTATACTAACATTTTTCTTTCAGAAAAGTATGAGTTTCATCAAATTTTGCTTAATAACTGGGTTCAGAGGGCTTGCTGAACAGCACTATAAAGAAGCTGTTACCCAGATGTTCTCAGCTGGTGGCCTCAACCATCCTTCCACTTTAATATCTGCAATAGTTTCAGATTAGCTCACATAAAGGACTTCTTCAATGTAAGTCGCTGATAAAGCTGTTATTGGAGTTGATATCCTTGTTTTACCCTACACTTTAACCATACAAGTCTTGCTCTCTCTCCAGGGAAAATTTTTGGAGACAGCAGGGATGTCACTAGCCTTATGATGAGAAATGATAACCCCTTACTTAATAGTTTTATCAGCAGCAACAGGAGATCCTACCATGTCAGAAATTCACAGCTGCCTTTCACTATTCTGAGATTTGTTTTTATTTACACAAGGAATTTGAAATACCTAATGTAAGGTCTATGAATCTAACAAAGGCCTTTCATGCTATTACTGGAGAAAAACACAATCTTGTTTTATCTTACTCTATCTAATTTTTCAGCCTTCTGCAATTTGCCATTCTACTGTGTATATTTAAAATGCTTATCCCAAAGGCACTATTTTTCTTCCTCACAATTTCCTGTATCCTACCTCTTCCCCAAAACTTTCACATAAAATTTCTCCTTTAATCTTTATATTTAACCATCTAAGTAAGCTACTCATTTACATAAATTGGACCACTAGTTTGACATAATGAAGTATGTACATGGATGACACTAATTATCTACAAGTATTTTAGATATAACAAGTACTTTTTTTTTTCTTTCTCATTTTTATCGGTACCGGGGATCGAACTCATGACCACCTGCTTGCAAAGCAGGTGCTTATGCCGCTGAGCTAAATCCCCAGCCCCTAGTACTTTTTGAAATTTATTTCTACTTTTGAAAATTTACCGTTAAAATTTAGCTCCAATAATGTTCTGTTATTTTAATAGTGATTGTTATAGTTAGGATCTTGATGTCTCCTCAAGGCTTGTTCTCTAGCCTATGGTGCTATTGGAACCTTTAGGAAGTGGGGCCTAGGGGAGGACATGCCCTGAAAAGAGTGTCGGTCGGTCAGTTGGTCAGTCAGTCTCTCTTGCTCTCTTTGAGGTGAGCAGCCAAATGCTCCTGCCATTATGTATTCCCTCACCAGAGACCTAAAAGAAACAGACCAACTTACCATGGACTAAAACCTCTCAAACTGTAAGCCAAAACAAACCTTTCTAGTGTTTAAGTAATGGAATGTTGACTAACACAGTAGGCCAGTTTCCAAAGGGATCACACCATGTTTAACTTTAGTGTTACAATGATATTTCAAGGTATATTTTACCAATTGCCCACTTACACTCATTAAAACTTTGCATACAGCAATTTATAAGGTCAGGCGTGGTATAACATGCCTGTAATCCTAACACTGGGGAGGCTGAGGCAAGAGGATTGCTGTGAGGACAACCTGGGCCAACATAATGAGTTCAAGAACTGCTTGGACTTATACAGTGAGACCTTGTGTCAAAAAATTGGAAGAAAAAAATATATATACATACATACCTGAGGAAAGTATGTTTGAGGTTCTAAGTAATATAAAACTGACTAATTTCTAGACTAAAGAATTACACAGTGAGAATCACATTAACCACCTAATGTAGGGAGTATATCTTTCAAAAATCAGAGTTAGAAATAATCTTAAGAGCTCATCTAGTCCAATACCTTGTTAATTAGTAGAACTGTATCTAAACCATTCAAAGAATATGGTTGTCAATCTGGTATCTAAATGCTCTAAAAAAGAAAAATCCAGAATCTCTCTTAGCGTTTAACCACCTATAGAACTCCAAAATAAGATTTTTAGTTCTAACTCTAAGAAAGACAAAAATACATTCTCTTTAAACAATCCTATACAGATAGATTATTACAAATCGACTTAGAATATTACAAATCTATTCACACATGGTTGATTTTTTTCTAGGCTAAACAGCTCTATAGCATTAAAATTACTCGTTCCTTTCACATACCCACCCTATAAGTTACACATCATGGCTAAGTTTAAATAGGCAGCTAACACCAGAAAACAGACAGGGGTTGAAACTATTTCTGTCATGATTATCCAATGTATTCTTTTACACGTATAAAGCATCAATTAAAAATGATTATTTCTAAAAACTTTCATATTGACTATATCTGACTAATTCATGTATTAGTTGTCCAACTTTTAAAATCTCTTGCAATGAGACTTTAAAAACAGAAAACTGTTATAATAATTGTAAGTTATTGACAGTATCCTATGTACAGATACAAAGAAATCACAAAGAAAGGCAAATTCTTTGAGATTGTTTTGTTCACTAGTGATCCCAGTACCTAAAACAGTGATGAGTCTCATGTTTGTTGAATAAATGAATTAAACACTAAATTTTGACTCTCCGTATATTAAACTGCTTATTAATGCAATAAAAGATAACTTCCACATATAAATGAATCAAAGGTTAATTTTTATCTCCTTATATACTATTAGTAAAATATATTTATCTCTATTGAATGAAATTCTCACTGCTTTCCTTCAAATGATTACAAATCCTGATGAATTGAAATACAAAAGAGAGCACAGTCTACAGAATGGCGATGTCTATAAAGTAGGTCAAAGAATATAAAACCATCAAAAGTAGTGCTTTCAACACTAAGATGGAATTACATAATTTACTTTGATACTTTCTATTGAATGGCAGTTACTTAATGAAAACATTACCACTCTATTTGGATACTATACCCAAGTTTAAATTGAGGAGACACTGTACGCAAGAATTTAATACACTTCAAAATTAACTTTTACCAGCACTTCATAGTTAATGACATTAAAAAGTAGAAGTCAGTTACCTCTAAATCTTGTATTTTTTGCTTCAGACAATTAAAAAAGTGTCTTTTTTTTTTCTTCCTTTTTGGCACTAGGAATCAAACTTAGGACTTTGCACTTGCTAGACAGGCGCTTTACCACTGGGGCTGTATCCTCAGCCCCCAAAGTCTCTATTTTTGAAATCTAACCTTAAACTGTTCTTCCAATTTCTCTCGAAGAGGGCTCAACTTCTCCAAGCTCTTACTCAGGTACACATGACCATGGAATTTAATAAAGGCCTTGATAAAGTCAGAAACACCCCATTTGGTTTTCACCTCATCCCGGCTGAAAAGAAAGAAAAATGTGAATGAGTCTTTAGCATCAAAATGGCTAAATCATTTAAAAGAGACTTCGGCTTGCAAAAGCAGGGTATTTCAACAGTTGATATATAAGGCAAGAGTTCTACATCAAATTTTTCAATTGCAATAACTTAGATGAATTGTATTCAGCTAGGAAAAATGAGACACTGGGTAAAATTCAGTGACTATGAAACATGGTATGTCTATGTATATATACATTTAGAAATAGGAGAAAAGAAGCATAGGTCCTTAACATTATTTCCTGTATCCCCAAATTTGAAGAATTAAAGCTTTATGTTAAACGTCAACCCTACCTTTCCAGTGCTTTAGAAAGTGCTTTTTGTAGATTAGTGGAGGCAGCTGGGAAAGGGAACTTCACAGCAATGCTTCTGCAGTAGTAGAAAATTGTGGTCAGATGGTCTCCTTTGGAAGAAGCTAAGATAGCCAACTGATTGTAAGGCTGACCTAAAGAAGAAAGTTAAGATTCTAAAGTAACCCAAGAACAGCAGTCTTGCCATGAGAATATAAATGGTCAGTTTTATATTCTTAATAATGGGGGATACTCTATAAGACAGATTTCATAAGTATCTAATTATAAAGGATCTTGGTAGAGAACTGCATATTTTATAGACAGTACATACTACTGCATATACATTTAAAAAATTGTGGGGCCAGAGATTTAGCTCAGCGGTATAAGTGCTTGCCTGGCAAGTGTGAGGTCGTGAGTTCGATTCCTGGTACCAAAAAGATTGTAGGACTAGGATAGAGGGCAACTTCAAATAAGACTTCAGAAAAAGCTAGCTAGTAAGTATTTTTAGTTTTGCGTGCCAAAGAGTCTACCCACCTCTGTCATGGTACTGTGAAAACAGTCATGGACAATATGCAACAGATGATGTAGCTAGACTGCCATTCCTACTTTAGACTCTGGAATCTAAAGGAATTCCAATGTGGCTTAGCACTAAAGAGTCAAACTAACAAATATTTGCTGAAATTTCTCTAAGTATCACTACTAATGTCTACTTTGGGACCATCAAAAGACAAAAGTACTGACACTTTTGGGTAAGAAATAATTTTTTCTAAGGGAAAATAATCATACTGATGATACTTATTCTATAAATAATAAAGCAAGCCAAAGTTGTAAAAATAATTTTATGTCACAATAATGAATCCTAGTTATATTGCTTTTACTGACAATACAAATATTTGAAAAAAGTTCACTTCAGTTTTATGAAATATACAATTAAAAGGGTAAAGTACAAAAATCAAAACCAAACTCACATCTATTGCTTTTATAGAACTTTAAAGGAGAGCCCTAAGTTATCTGCTACTATATTATAAAGAACAAAGATTCGTGGTCAACCTCAAGTTGACAGGCCCACTCACCATTGGAGGGGACAAGCTGAGCTGCATGCCTATAGTAGGACTCTGCCTGGCTGGTCTGGTTTCTGTATCGAGCTGAGAATAAGAAAAAGAAAATTTAGCTTAAAAAAATGTAAAAAATCCACTAGGAGGATTTTTAAAACAGCTAGAGTTTTAAATTCTAAAGATAATAAAGGTATTACTAATTTTAAGTCTAGAAGTTATTTTAAGATCATTAAAGAGAAAAGATTTTAAAACAAATTAAGTATAGGATTATGTGTGAAGTGTCCATCCAGTCTTCCCTATTTGTGACAATCAGCATGTAACCAATTTGAAAGCTTACCTAGCCCCCATTTTCAGATCCTCCAGTGTCATGCACCACCAGCTCCCACTACGGATTATGCTGGTGACCTGGAGCCGGCCCACAAGAAGGGGTGAGTTATATGGCACTTAAAAACAAAACAAAACAACACAAAATCCACTGTACAATATGATCTGAAAATTATGTAATTTCTTCAATATTTTATAGTGATGTTGAAAAATGCTTCATATGTATTGTAATATTATGTGTGTGCAAAGAATACATTGAAAGCAAAAATAACCTAAACACATTACCACTGAATCTCCCTGCAAAACTCACTGCTTACTTTGGTATGATCTCTTTTGGAGCCACCAGTTTGTGACATTAAAAAAACCTAAAATCTTCAAACCTAAAAGTAATGATGTTCTCCATTACTTGTTCTTTGAGGACAAGCAAAACATAATCCTATAGTTAATGTGTTTTACAACCTTTTTAAATTACCTTAAAGGGATGAAAAAGAGTAAGTTTCCAGATAAAATACATATAATGCAAATACAAACAGCTTTAAAAGAAAATAACATTTGGCTTTTAGTACACTGGAAGGAAGAGAAAAAAAGCAATCTAGTTCTAGCAGAAATGAAACAGTGTAGATTTTTAATTTAGAAAATGTAACATCACTGATAAATTTAGCTCAGATCGTATTTTTGTTGTTTCCTATTTGCCTATATCTAAAGTCTGAATAAAACTTAAATCTCAGTATGAAAATTATTTAAGATCCTTTCCCAAACCCCAAATACTAAAGAATTCTAAGCTTCTAAAAATATATTTGATGATTTCTCTTGTGACAATCTAAATTGTGTGTCCATATTCAGCTTACAGGAAAAAAAGACTTCTTCCTATGACTACCACAAATAAAAGGACGAATGCACTATCAGTTTCTTCACACCAAGAGCTCACCAATGTCTCCAAGGTGGACGAGGCAGTGCTGGCAGATATAGGAACAGGAGCTAGACTGTGGCTTCACTATGGCGCTGGTATGCGTCTGTTTATTGCTGATAATTCCCAACTGGGAAGACTTCACACGGCATGGTAAATCTACATTAAACACTGTACACAGTTCCTGTAATAACTAAAGGAAAAACATACATAATACTTAGTAGAAAGCTAGAAGTGTTTTAATTGTAAAGTTTGTATGCTATATGGTATATATCTAATATCACTCCTTGGACCTGAGCAAAAACTATATGAAAAATATATGGTAATCTTTGATAGAATAACTAGTATCATTTGCTACATATCTTCTGAATTTTCCAATATTAGAGCATTCTAGGATGTACATTTAGAAGAAATAGAAACCGGCTGTTTATCTGAATAGGGATTTTGAACTCACTTGGCAAACAAAGAAAAGGATGACCATTGGTTTATGACATTAAAAATGACTTAAATATAGGACAAGACATTTGTAAGACTTTAGACTTTTTTTCTTTTTTTGATTATGGGGGTCTTATTTTGTTGCCCAGGATGGCCTGACAATTCATTTTTTTAAGTTCTAAGCCAACTCACACATCTTCACAGAGTTTAATTCATTAGCTCACTCGTCCTTCCCTCTTCTTAAATTATGAGGGGCGGGCACTCTTTCCTGGTCAGAGTTAGCTCTCATATATCTGCCTTATGTCCTGGACATACGAAGGTTTCTTGAAAAAACAAAAAATGTAAAACAACAAAGATGAAAACACTCTCCTTTGACTCTTTAATTCCTTCTCAGCAAACTTCTAATGTCTCTTCCTCTTGGTAAGCTAATTCCTTCGGAGGAGTGCACATTACCCATATCTGCTTCTCAATTCCTATCCACTCCTTAGTTCATTACCATCTAGCTTCCACGTAAGTGCCCACCTCATATCCCAATGTTTCTAATACAACCATTGTCAATTAACTACCTAGTAGCTAAACACAGTACAATGCTTCTTTAAGACAGATCTTATGCCTAATCACTGAGATTCTCTAGTTCTTTCATTTCTCCAACCATGCCTCTTCAGGCTTTTCTCCTCCCACCTTGTTTGATTCTTGGTCCCCACACAATTCTGTGTTGTAGTATTGCTTCAATTTTCACAAATAAGTCCACTCAAATTGTTTTGAAATTATATATTTATTAAGTATCTGCCTATATACTCATGATAAGCAACACAGATACAGAGGCAAATAAGAAAATCTGTCTCCTTAAAGGGTTCATAGAAGATACAGGAAGGAGAGCAGGGCATACAAAGGGACAGGAAAAGAACAAAAGGAGGAAAGGAAGATGAGGGGAGGAGAGAAAGCATGATACACAGCATAAGCCAATACAATATTCTGCATTTACAATAAGCTTCATTCCTCGGGTAATCTGATATATTTGCCCAACTCGATCCTTGTGATAAGCTGGTAGCAACATCGTGTGTGTAGATATAAAGTTCTACTTTTTCAGGTGACAAAGTGAAAGCAAAACAAAGAACCAAATTATTGGGTTGAGGATACAGAATTTAAAATACTTTGATCCTATCATTTTTTCTAACATGTACAGAATTCACAGTAAAAAATACTGTGCAAAACTCCAAAGACCCAATTCAAAAGAAACCAAAAGGCACCATCTTTCCCTAACATAAAAACTACTTTGATAACTGAATATAAATTCCATGTGCCCTTTTTAAGCACAGGAATTACTTATTTTTACTTATTTACTTATTACTTTATTTTCTTTGTGTCTACATATATGTAAAGGGCAAAAAATTTTCTAACATAAAATTGGCTTAACAAGTTAAAACCTCAAGTTAATCAGAAAACAGAAAAGGCATAAAGAATAGCAAAAACTAAAAGAAAAATAAGAAAAACAAAACACAAAAAACCAGTTGAAGATGACAAAAAAAAAAAGAGCGAGACTAAAGCACCGAGTTCAGCAGGTACTGAATAGACTAGAAACCTAAGTAAGGTTCACTAGCAAAAAGCAAAAAGAATGATCACAAGAAGTCAACCAAATATAGTCTACCACATAGAATGGCTCTGTAATAAAATTTCTGTTTTAACTCAAGAGCTGTAACCATAAATACCAGAGAAAAAAGCTTTTCTCTGGAAAATAGAGCACCATTTCATTTAAAGGGACTAACAAAGTGAAACCCAAGAAGAGATCAGGTAGTTTATAAGTTAAAACTATATCCTACCTTTATATAGGCTTACCCTGATGCATTTTTACTCGATAGTAATTTCTAAATGTAGGAGGCTGGCTGAGACAATAAGTTACTTTCATTATATGGTAATGCATTATATGGTAATGCTAAGAGGTGCTCTGAAGGCTACTGCTGAATTTTAATGTCTTTTGTTTTTAAACTCCAATCACAGATTTAGAAAACTGGAAAGGGCATCTATGATAAGTATTAGTTCATGCTTTTTTTATTTTTACAGTGACTTGCCCAAATTAGTCACTGTCACAATACTCAGCACTAGAATAGTACTACAGTAATTTCAAGGTTCCCATTAGGTAAGGAATCTTTACAATATTCCTTTCTTTCTTAACATTTACTCCAATACAGAAACTTTATGAAATGCTTTCTTTTTTGCTCCTGTTTTCTTAAAATAAGATTATTCTCTTAATATACAAAAGAAATGGGCTCAGCGGTGTAAGCGCCTACCTGGCAAGTGCAGGAAAAAAAAAGTATATACACACACACACACGAAACCTAAAGTAGAATGTAATGTCTTTTGAGAATCTGGTTCCACACGATATCTCAAGTTTTAACTAGTTAACAATATAATAACTAAAAGACAAAACTTTGTTCACAGAAAATGTGACTATGGGTAATTACAAACCAGTCTTTATTCAATTCACTCCAATCAGACTTCCATTTTACCAATCTGCTGAAGTTAAACTCCAAATTACTGTAAATTGTAAGATGAAACATTATCTTATGTAACACTGAGACAAAAAAATTGCAATTAAATGGTGAGTTGCCATTAAGTCGTATTAGTGTTGGTATCTGAAGTCTGTTGCAAACCTACCCCTATTTCAGATGTTAAATATGAAAAAATACCAGAAATGAAATATGATACTAACTTCAATAACTTTCATGTTTTCAAATCTAATTGATCACTTTTTAAATGGTACCTGACTTCTCACCATTCCTTCTTGTCATTAAAACACTTTTCTTTTGGGATCCAAAGTACCTCTCCCTGAATTTTTTTACTGCAATAGCAACACCTCCTCTGCCAAACCTGCATGCATCTGATAAGTCAGATGTCTCATACTATACCTATCAGACATCTCTTAAATGTCAAAGAGACATTTCTCTTAAGGTGAATACAGTTGCTTTCCCCTGTAATTCCCTTAGTAATGCACAAGACAGCCATCCAGTTGTTCTTCTAATTATCAGCTTTGATTCTCCTTTTACTGATCACACAAATCTAGGAAGTCCTTTTAGACATACTTCAAAACTTCAAGTTTTTCTCCAACTACAAAAGTATCCAATCTTCTCTTCCTTATCTAAAAATCCTGAATAATCTTTTAAACATGCAAACCTGAGCATGTTACGCTTTTGCTTGCTTGCCAGTGGCATCAAGTTATACTAAATAATAAAATTCAAAACTCATTTTGGCCTATGAGTTCACACTATGATCTGGAATTGGTCTACTTCTTCAACCTGGGGCCTAATCTGCACCAACTGTAACCAAGAGGTATGGAACATATCACTATCTTTCAACAATGAGACCATGACAACATAAAAATACAAAGGAAAGATCTTATTAATGTTGATATCTAAATTAGTATATTGTGAGAATAAAGCAGCTTATTAATGGCTTATCCTACAACTGTTATAACTTGTGAACCACAGCCTGTGCAGGTAGAGAAGAGTCAACATTTATTAAAAAAACTTCACAAATTAACTCTGAAATTAAAAAATCTTTGAGAAACCTGAATTTTATTATTTAGTTGTTTATAAAATGCTTTTATAAATACCATGACACCTAGATTATAATTCTTGCTTCCCTTCCTTGTAGGTTCATTCGGCTTTACCACTGTCTAGTCATGTAAAAAGAAGGCTCATGCCTGTAATCCCACACTCGGGAGGCTGAGGCAAGAGGATCATTATGAGTGGGAGACCAGCCTGGGCTACAAAGTGAGCTGAAGGCAAGCCCAAACTGCATAATGAGACCCTGTCTCAAAAAAATCATACACACCTTGGGCCAGGGATTTAGCTCCATGGCATAACACTTGCCTGGCAAGTAAAAGTTCAAGAGTTCGATCCCCAGTACCAAAAAACAAAATAAAAAAAACCAAACTGATACACACATATACACACAGAATCATTTCCAAAATGACAAATCAACCTTTATAATGGTTACTATAAAAAATGTACTGTAGGGGCTAGAGATTTAGCTCAGTGGTATAAAGTACCTGCGTGGCAAGTGCAACGTCATGAGTTCAATTCCTGATACCAAAAAAAAAAAAAAAAAAAAAAAAAAAAAAAAAAGTACTGCGAAGATAGATGCCTTTCATTTCTCTCCAACACATTCCATTTCTCTCCAGCTGCACTGCCACCTGCTTTTCCCTACCACAGTTATGTTTTCAGTACTTTCTACTACATGGAGAAGGAAAAAGAGATTTGAATCAGAAACAAGACTGAAATTTTACAATTTTAAAAATGGATTACGTTTCAGAAACTGAAAGCAACTGCAATGTTATATAATCTGTTCAAGTAATGACAAGAATCTGGAAATTTAAAGAACATAGATGAAGGCAGTGAATGGGTAGATACCATGTGTTAATTATTTCACTTAACTGAAACTACTCAATATAACCAAAATGATAATATATATAGCTTTATATTGCTATTTGTCCATTGTAGGAAATTCTTTTCTCATCTTAAAAAAACTCATGATTTTAAAGTTTCATATTTCCTTTCTATGTTATGCCATAAATTATTTAACCAATTAGTTTATTGTAGGACACTAGTATTGCTTGCAAATATTAAAATTTGAATTATAATGTCCACTTGTTTCTTCAAATGTAATTATTCTTTCTTATTTATTTATTTACTGGTTTTTTTTTTTTTCTTTGAGACAGGTTCTCACTATATAGCCCAGGTTGGCCTCAAACTTGCAGTAATCTTCCTGCTTCAGAGCACTGGTACACGTGTGTGCTACCACACCTGGCTCAGGTATGATTATCATTAGAACCTAAGATAACTTCTGTACTTCAAAAAGCTCTAAATAAGGTAAAGGCACAAAAGGGGAAATTAACTGAAAATGTTATAAATGTTGACCTTTTGGGAAAACAATAATATATATACACAGTATTTAAACTTTTATTAATAATTTCAATTTAAAGAACTTCAGGAAATAATTTGGTATTAGAGAAATGCTTTATATACAAAGATGTTCATCAAAACGCTTAACAAGAAGCTTATAAAGTAGACATTATGTGTGGACATAACTGTAAAAAAGTATAAGGCTGTATTCAAGTTGTAATTTATCCTGGAGAGCTTGGAGCAGTGGTACATGCCTATCATCACAGTTACTTGGAAGGCTGAGGCAAAAGGATTTAAAATTTGAGTCCAGTTTAGGCAACTGAATGATTCTGTCTCAAAATAAAATTTAAGGAGGGCAGTGAATGTAGTGCAGGAATAAAGCACTTGCTAGTATGTGTGAGGCCTTAGGTAACATCAACACCAAAAAGTAGTGATTTATCCTGCGTGTGGAATTAATGAAAAAGTTTCAGACTTTATATAATTTTGAAATTACCTGAAATTAGTATGGCATTATTTTTATAGTCAGAAGATAAAAGACAGCTAGCTATACTGTATCTTTCTTTTCATGTAGACTAGATACTTCCTTGAAGGTAAATACTCTGTTTCATATTCCTCTGTATTCTCAGTACTGTATATTGTGCTTTACAGACAGTACCCTTTTGATAGACACATGCAGAGTAAGTCTTTAACATCTGCTTACTTATTGGTACACCAATGCCTCTTTCAGAAAGTAAACCCTCTCCAAGTATCAAGTTACACTGCTGACAGTTGGCATAAATTTAAAGATGAATTCTGAGAATAAGAACCTTACCTGACTGCTTTTAATGATGAACTGTGATAAACATTCTTTGGTCTAAATAGAGTATAAATAATCTCTGAAAGATGACACCTATTTGACACCTTCCAATAGAGATTCCTTTCTTTTTCTTCATTCAAAGAAATGGTAAAACAAAAATAAAACCAAAATACAGTAGGTGACAAGCAACATAGGAAGAATTGGCCAAAGTTAAGTACAAGAGCCTGAAAACGTTGACACTTTTATATATTTAATTTACATTTAACTTATAAATAAATGAGGATTTTCTAAAAGATTAAAGCAAATTCCATGGTCAGATATAAAGATTTATTTTTTCTTTTACTATGCCTTATACAGAAGTTATATGAGAATGTAACAGGAAAAGAGAAAATCTGTGACAATGATGAATAACTTATTATTCAAAATGAGGAAAAAGTACTCCATTTTTGCAGTTTAAAAACATTTCAAGGTCACAACAAATTTGACAATATAAATAATGTGTGGAAAGCTCATTTGATGTTACACATTTTGACTATTTTTTAAGCTGGCACAACACAACTGTTGCTTTTTGGAGGGAAGGAGTACCTTTTGTCTTATTGTATAGTTTAGGTTGGCCTTGAACTCACTATAGCCCAAGCTTGAACTCACTCATGGTGATCCTTCGGTCTCAGCCTCCAACTGCTCGGATTGTAAGTGTGCCACCATGCCTGGCTTCCCAGTTCTTTTCATAATGTTACACTTATACATGTAAACTCACATGTACTCTAATGCCATTTGTAGACTGACTTCTGTTGTTTCACTAATGCTTTGCTATCATTAACCCTTTAGTGTTCAGATAGTAATACCTTCAACCTACAAAACATCAACCTGAGAGTACAGTTTTTTTTAAAAGATCTCATGGTAAATAAATTTTGGACATCCATATTCATTTACAATTATAAGATCAACTCCTGATTGGTGTAGGTAGTAATTATACGAAAGTGCATACAAAATAAATATGCATACCAAGAGCACAATATTTATCACTAATATTAGGAAAACTGTTACACAATGCAGAACTCACCTGAGTGTAGAAGCCACTAGCTGCCTCTAGGAACAGAGAAAGGTTTGCCTGGACTTCACTCCGATTTGGGTTTGCTCGATTCTTTGCTTGACCTTGTAGTGTTGTGATCTGATTCTTAAAGGCATGATTCCAGCTGAAAACAAAATGTAATTCTATTTGGTATAGCAGTGACTCACTGGGCAGACACTGGTCCCCCTGAGAACAAGAAAGAACTGTTTGTTATAATTACACCACGCTAGGCAATAAACCTGCATTACAGTTATTGATTTATTTAAAATAACTTTATGTTCCCTGTCCTTTGAATAACACTAGACATGTAGTAAAATTCAACAAACATTAGTAAACACTTACCAGAAGTTTGAATAATCAGATTTGGCTTCAGCTACTAATTTTTTAGGGTAACTAAAGTTAGAGTCTATTTATCAATCTCAGTTCAAAGAACTATAGTGGTAAGATCAAAGTAAAAATACTAACAAATATTAACAGATTTCCATACATTGTGCCTGTACTTGCGTAGGGGAGGGGCTTGTACGTGTTTGCCTGTTTTTATTTTCCCAAAAGTTATTTCCTGTGATTATATTTTGTTTTTTGGGGGGGCTGCCAGGGATCGAACTCATGATCTCGCATTTGTCAAGCAGGCACTTATGCCGCTAAGCTAAACCCCCAACCCTAAAATGTCTTAGTATCTTTATTCTTTTTTTTTTTTTTTTTTTTTTGGTACTGGGGATCAAACTCACAAGCTTGTTGCTTGCCAAGCAGGTGCTAAAGCCCCTGAGCTAAATCCCCAGCTCCAAGTTATTTCCTACGGCATGAACGTACATTTCTATTTAATAGTTTTATTTCTCTTGGGATTGTTTCCTTTACATTATGAAATATAAGCCACTTTAATTTTAGATATTTAAGATAACACAATGCTGAAATGTAGCATTAAAATCCTGCTTTAAAATGCCCTTCATTAATACGATTGGGGCCGGGGATTTAGCTCAGCGGCATAAGCACCTGCCTTGCAAGCAGGCGGTCGTGAGTTCGATTCCCGGTACCGATAAAAATGAAAAAGACAAAAAAAAAAAAAAATAATAAGATTGGGTATACAATCTCTTTGAATTCAGTTTTCAGGAAAAAGTCATGCTCTAACTTGAAAACGAGAGAGACAGACAGAAAGGAGAGACAGACAGAGACAGACGAGAGTGAGAGCGAGAGAGAGAGAGAGAGAGCGCAGAGATAATGGTTTTCTAGTCTACCTGGTGTATTCCTAATTATTAACATCAACCTGTAAAGCTCTAGAGCACTGGGTTTTTAATATTTAAGAGTTGAATCACTCTCTAATATTGCTGATGACATCTTATCCTTGACTGTAACATCTCAGGCATGGGCACTGACTGTTTGTTATTTAACTTGAGACCATAAGGCCCCAACTTATGAAAGAGTTCCCTTCTGGGAGAATGTTCCTAAATCTGATTTGTTTGTAATCCAACAAAGTGAGTTAGTTTTTTTTTTGGGGGGGGGCAATTACCAGAAATTGGAACTCACGACCTCACGCTTGCCTGGCAGGCACTTACATGCTGAGCTAAACCCCTGGCCCGATGACAACATGAGTCTTACAGAGTACACCTGTGAAAGTTCGTAACTTGAATGTTCATAAATCAGGGGCTTACTGTAACTAGACTTCTTAAAAATATAAAGCATATAAAGGTGTGGAAGACAGAAAAAAACCTAATCTTCACTACAATGTAGGGTAATGGGCAACAGAAGCATTGATTTCCACCAAGCTAACATCCCTACTGCAATTATAAGGCTAGACTTCATTAAAAGCATTTATTTACTCACTTAAGAATCTGGTTATCTATCATTTTCACCTTTTTTAGAAAAAAATGAAATAACCTAAATACACAAAATCTTTCTTTAGTTTTATTTGGAGGAAAGGAAAAAATATGAATTTATTTGATTAAAAAAGAACTTTCCTTACATTTTTTTTTCTGTTGGAGAAATTTATAGAATCACATTTACCAAAGAAAGATTCTTCTAAAGATTTTAAAAATCGGGCACCATATAGAGAACCAAACATTCTTATTACTTGAAATGAGATACTTGCTTTTCTGATGTGCCTTAAAACAGTTGCCCTTAATAAATATTCTCCTCTTACTTTCAAAGATTGTACCTGAAATACCAATGACCAAATATTTTGTTAAAAAAAAAAAATCACAAATATTAGAATCTCTTTCTATTTGAAAAAGCTTACTTTGGAGTAGGCTAAGAAACAACCAAGCAAGCAAGCAATTTTAAGTTGTGGTAAGATGCTTGAACTTATAGGAACATCTCAAATGATAATACTTACAGATCTTGTTCTACTTTCTTGTCTAAAGCATATTCCAAATCAGTAACTAGCATTTTCTGGTACAGGTCCTGCAGAGCCTGCCTGGATGTCCAGACCTCAGCTGGACCCAGCTTAGAATCTAGGTAACAGAACAAAAACAACACATGGATAAACAACATATGCAGAAGACCAATGCTTTCTTTCCCTCCTCACGCCCTAAAGTAAATCTGCCCTTAAGTATATGAAGAAGTTTTATAGTAAATGATCTTCACCTTTTAGCTAATAACTAAATCTGGGTTAAAATGCTTTTGCATTTTTAGTCTTTTAGCTTTGAAATAACATTATGAAATGAACATGGCTTTTCACAAGAATGATTTATGTCTTACCTTTGATTTAGATTTTTCTCGCTTCCTATCATAGGTAGTTATATGCCTCACGAGTCACTTTATTGAAATAATGGACTACTAAGTTGGGTGGTTTTTTTCCCCCTCATAACTATATTCCTTTATCCAAAATAGTGTTTCCCTTTTTGTCTGAATAAAAATTTGCTTATTCTGAATATTTCCCACAAATGTTCTTCCAGAATGCTAATGTCATTTCATTATCTAGCAGTTACTTGGGTACTGCCCTATTCTATATATATCAATGACAATAAGAATTATTTTAATGATAATATACTGCTTTCCAAGACATTTTTATGAGCAATTTATACCTGGAAATTCATGTAAAAGAGGGTTAGTAGAAGAGTGGGATTAAATTACTCACACAGCCGGACGAGAAACTAGGCATAGGATAAAGTAAGTCAGCTGGTTAAGTTTCTGACTACATACATTATAAAAGTGGAGCCACACTGTTCAAGGCACATTAACCTTGATGATTACTGACAGGTTTCTTGAGCAGTTCAGGAACTGACAGTCTCTGTAGAAGAACTTAGTAATGGACTTTTCTATTACAGTGTGTTTCAATAACCAGTTAAACTAATCAAATTCACCTAAGAACTCTATTGCTGAGTACCTGCATAACTTCACTCCTCTTTAAGTTTGTCAACGATATCTATTATGTCCACAATTCTATTCTGCAAACACAATCTCCTGGATACAGTATTTGAGTTAATGCTCATAAGAGTTTGCTGGTTGCTAAGAACAAGTCTTTTATCAGTTTCTTGGTCTCTTAGCAAGTTTTTAATCAATAATTTATAAATTTGCTCAATCCTGCTTTAATTTATTGCTGGTCATAAAGGGGATAAAAGATAATTAACTCTGATCAGATTATCATTTACATGAACAGACTGAACATCCTAGCTTAAAGATCCTTGCATCAAATGTCCTCTGTAAAAGTCAAACTCCAGTACAATTTATGAGGGTGTTGAATACCTAAGACAAAAGCACATATAGGTAGCTTGATGTTACTCCATGTCTCCATGTGCCATTTTTGTCACATGACACAGACTACTCTTGAAATGCCATCTCAGGAGTCACAGTAGTAGCTCAAAGCTGACATGGATATAAGCAATATGGATGATCACGAAAAACCTGTTCAATAGTAATTCAACACTAACTAAATCTGTAATTAGATTTCCTCTCTTTTTACCTTTAATGCAATGACAATAAGATTGTCCATTACAACATGAGCCTGTGGTTCTAGAAGTTAAGGAAGTCAGCTCAGCAACGCATATCCCCTCCATGACTATAAACAATAAATATTTAAAGCAAGTAAGAAGTTATTATCTCTTTTAGCAACTAGGCTTTTGTGTTATAAGTATCACAGAAAAGAGAATATCTGTTTATTAATTTAATGGTATAAAATAAACTGTGAAAAAAAGATAGCCAATACCTGTCATATCAGCTTTCAGGACTTCGGCCTGCCTAAATAAGCGGAAAAGAAAAAAAAAAAAAAAGAGCAATTAGCAATTAATCAACATAGTAAGAAATAACTGAAATCATGTATTATAATAATGCTAGACAGCAACTAGTGGCACTGCAAACTGTATCCTTCCCCAAACCTGTATCCAGGATGACACTAAGTCTTAAAACAATCATGTCTTTATTTAAATTTATACAATCACCAGTAACCAAGTAGTTTATCTTTGTTTTCCTCTAAATCTGACTTCCATTCTCCTCAAGCTGCTGATTCCTGCTTCTCTTCTTCATTGCCAAATGAGAGCCATGTATCTCAGAGAAAAGAATTTCCATTTACTTCCTTACTTTCTGTTGTGAAAACCCAAGAGTTGTATCTCTTATCTAAGACCAAAATTTCACTTACGCACGTTCCTGATAGCTTTTCTTAGGACTTGTTCCTGTGACTAATCCCTCTCCTTTTTGACAACTTTCGATTTTCCCTCTCTGCTAGGTCCTTTCTTCTCTTTGGTATTTTACCAAGTACAAACCTCTCACATATTTTAAAACCTTCTGCCCCACATTCAAAAACAGTTGTATTTAAAGAGTCAAAACTTAACTAATGGCCACCTGCATTCCTTACACTTCTATTTCTAATTTTTTATTTTATGTGAGCAAATGTAGCATGTTTTCTAGTTGTTGATGACAGAAGCCTAGAAGTCATCTGTGACAACTCTCTCTCAAACTCCAACTGCAGACAGTGTTTCTACTAAGCAAATCTTCTATCTTTCCTTTATATCCTCTTCAGAACTGCTTTCTCTACTTCACTCTTCCCGTTTCATGGCGCCCTCCCATTGCTGTAAGAATCTTTAAAATTAGTGATTTATTTAGAATACGTACTTGAATGATTTCCCATTGCTCTCAGGGTACAGAACACAATCATTATTAAAGTCACCTACAAAATTCTAGTCTCTGAACTCTCCTCTCCTCCCTTTCCCACTCCCCACTCTCTTCTCTCCTCATCTCTGTGTCCCATCACTGAGTTCTGGTGTGATGCTTCATTCACACTCTGGGCCTCTGTACAAGAATTCCTCTGCTAGAAACACCTCTCCTCCCTTTTGTCTGGTTAATTATAATTCATTATTTGAGCCAGAACATTAACTCCATGTCAAAATCATCTATTTTAAGAATATTCCTATTTATATTCTCAAAGGTGTCACATTTTTTCTTCTTAGTATATCTCATACCTTTTAAGACTGCTCACTGTGGCAAGCAAACCAGTTGATTTTGGTTTGTGGACTAGGTGGAGCAGTCTATTGAGTTTGTCTGGGTGAGTCATGGAGGACTGGCCTTGGGGTCTGTATCTGATTCCTGTGCCTTCTTCTGTGGCAGTGTTCTGCTCTGCTTCCTGGAGGTCATGAACTAAACAGCCTTGCTTTGTCATGTCCTTCTGCTACAATTTTCTGCCTTGGAGACAGCTGACCATGGACTGAATCTCCAGAAACTGACAGCAGAATTAATCCTCTCCTTTAAATTGTGGGTATGGATATGGTGTCTCAGTGACAAGTGAACTGATTAACATATTCCCCATCACAACCCCATGTCTATGAGTACACAGTAAGCATTCAATAAACATTCTAATTAAGAGGGTAAGTCATGCTCATTTACTGGATTTAATTATCTAATTCATATGTAGAATCTAAAGAAGCTGATCTCATTAAAGTAGAAAGTAGAAGAGTGATTACCACAGGTTGGGGATAGTAAAGGGGGCAAGGAAAGACAGGAAAGATAGTCAATGGCACAAAGTTACAGTCAGAAAGAATAAATGCTGGGGTCCTGTGGCACAGTAAGGTGATTGTGGTGATGACAATATTTTAACAAATCTCGCAAAACAGCCAGAAGAGATTTTGAACATACTCACCACAAAGAAGTAACTCTATGACATGAATATGCTAAATACTGAGATTTGATTATTATACAATGAATATATAAAATGAAGCACTACACTGAAACCCATAAATAAGTACAATTACTAGATATCAATTAAAAACACAATTTAAAAGGTTACTATATAAATGAGATTTGCCTTAAAAATGTTTCTCTTAGGAAAGCTGGAGAATATTATGATTCTAAAATTTTTACTATGTTTTTACATAATTAAGTATTTTAACAGCAATTGTGAATTTTAGTTTATTTTAAAATGTAAAGCAAACTGGGTATGGCAGCACCCAGCACTCATCAAGATGAGGTAGGAGAGTTTCTGAGTTTGAGGCCAACCTGGATTTAAGACCAGCCTGAACTACACAGAAAGACCCTGTTCTCAAAACAAACTCAAAAAGTAAAGTGAGGCCTTTTATTCTCTTAGCCTTTACAGCTTTTTTATTTTAAAGTAAGCTTTCAAATAGGATCTCAATAGGAACCTATGGAGGTAACCACAAACCACATGAGAACTGTCAATCTAAATGAATTAATACTAAATAAATGGCTATGTTTAGACCTAAAATATAACAACACATCAAATTCCACTAACCATACACTCCTATTTTCATGGCCCACTTTGTGTTAAAATTTGTCATTAAAATGACATTGATAGTCTACACAGAAGATCCCAAAAACTCCACCAAAAGACTTCTAGATTTAATAACCAAATTTAGTAGCATAGCTCTAAACAAAGTCAACACTCAAAAAAAAAAAAAAAAAAAAATCAATAGCATTCCTGTACACAACCAACAAATTCACTGAGAGAGAAATTACGGAAACCACACCCTTCATGGTAGCAGCCAAATAAATGAAACACTGAGAAATCAACCTAACAAAGGAAGTAAAAGAACTATATATTGAAAATTACAGTAATCTAAAAAAGGAGACTGAAGAAGGTATCAGAAAATGGAAAGATATATCCACTGCTCATGGATAGGAAGAACTAACACAATGGAAATGACTATATGCTCAAAACTGTTATACAGATTTAATGCAATCCTGATAACATACTGTTCGCATACCTCACAGAACTAAAACATTCCTAAATTTCATTTGGAACCAGAAGACACCTACTATAGCAAAAGCAAACCCGTGCAACAAAGGTAAAGCAGGAGGCCTCTCAATATCTGACTTGAAATTATACTAAAAAGCTACTGTGATAAATATCAGCATGCTACTGGCCAAAAAGCAGACCTGAGTGAGGACCAGTGAAATAGACTAGAAGATGCAGACACAATTAAAAATACACTCAGCCACCTTATCTTTGACAAAGGGCACAAATATGTTCACTGGAAGAAAGCCTCTTTAATGAATGGTGCTGGAAAAACTGGCTTTCCATATGTCAAAGATTAAAACTAGATCCATATCTTTCACCATGCACTAGAGTCAAAATGGATACAAGATCTAAATATTAAAACAGAATCACTAAATCTAAAGTAAGAGAAAGTAGGTAAAAATCTTGAAGACATAGGTGAAAGCAGAGATTTCATGAACAAAAGCCAAACTATACAGGAAATACTTCAAAGAATCAACAACTGGGATCTCTTATTAAAAAGCTTTTGCACATTAACAGAAATGATCAAGAGTGAAAACCTGCAGAGTGGGAAAAAATTTTAGCCAACTGTCCTGAGACAAAGAACTTCTATCTAGAACATATAAAGAACTGAAAAAAATCAGAACCCCATATTTAAACATCCAATCCAAAAAAGGGTATCAAGAAGAATATGCACTTCTCAGATGAAGAAATACAAATAGCAAATAAATATATTTTAAAAGTTTCAACATCATCAGTCATTCAAGAAATGCAAATTAAAACGACACTGAGATTTCATCTGACACCGAGATTTCATCTGACACCAGAAAGAATGGCTGTCAACAAAAAAACCAATGAACAAACGCTGATGGGGCTGTAGGAAAAAAATGAACACTTCACTATTGGTGGCAGTGTAGACTGGTGCAACCATTGTGGAAATCAGCAGGGAGAGTCCTGGGGGGTGGGGGGAGAAATAAAAACATCATACCACCGCAATATATGTATACCCTTGTTTAACAGCGTAATTTGTAATAGTTAAATCTTGGAAACAACCCAAATGCTCATCAACCAAGGAATGATAAAGAAGATGTGGTATTTTTATACAATGGAGTACTACTCAGCAATAAAGGATAAATTTGAGACTTTTATAGATAAATAGATCCAACTTGAGATCACACTCCTAAGTGAAATAAATCAAACCTACATATGTAAACATCGTATTGTCTCTCTAATGTAAGAATCTGAAAGAGCAAATAAGATCCAAAATGTACGATAGATATTGGGAAATGGGAAGAAACTATTCAAAAGAAAAGAGAAACAGATTTGAGAAAGGAGAAATGGGAAAAGGAAAAATAAAAAATACATATATACACACACTATAGTTAAGACAGTTACACTACTAATTTCTATTAGTTCACTGAAAAGGTTTGTGCTTATATGTTTAACCAATTGTTCATGCTTATGTCTTGTAAGCTGAGCAACTACTTTAAAGATAACAATAAGCAATGTATTAACTATTGTTATTCTCCTAGTATCTTGTTTTGAAATTTTGTATCATTGATTTTATTGCTTTCGTTTTTTTTAAAAAACTGCCATTAAAGATTCTCTACAAGGCTACTGGCTTATGTGTTTTAAAAACTAAGACAATACAATTTGATAAAACATACAGTACCATATTCTTCTACCAAAGTCAGAATTCTTCTTTCCCTCCATGGAATACTACTCTTAATAAAGTATTAGCTTTCCTTTCTTATAGTACCTAATATATAAGAAATTGAATCAATGACTATGTGATTTCACACAAATTCTTCTTTTTTTTTTGGTTTGGTTGTTTTGTTTTGAGGGGATTCCAGGAATTGAACTTACAACCTCATACTTGTCAGGCAGGCACTGTGCTGCTAAGCTACATTCCTGGCCCTCTATACAAATTCTTTAATAATAAAGATTAGTACAAATTGGCTATTATTTTATTTAAGAAGTACACCTCAACACTGCTGGTTTTATCAACAACCTTCAATAGAGATCAGCATTATATCCAAAGTTTTCATGTTTTTCTTAGCAGAAGGTATGGCAACAGGAACTGTTCACTTTACTTTAAACGAAGAAAATAATTTTTAAAATGAATGAACCAAGAATCCAAAAATTATATCATGTCTTTAATAAAAAGGGCTCATAATTATAAAATATAAAGTTTTCAGAATATTAAATACATTGTTAGTCATTTAGTGATAACAGAAATTAAGCACTTCCACCAAGTAATAATAATGACTAACAGGCTGAATAAAACTCAAAACTTTTAGTGGTAAGTATGCTGAAAGCGAACAATCTCAACAATACTCATGGAGAGAACATAATCATCAAGATCTACAAGTATATTTAACACATTCTAAGCAGTGGTTCTATAATAAAGCTCTGTATTACCCTTACACTATTCTAAGAATTTTACATAAAACAAGCATTTAATTCACACTAAGTTCCAGTACTGTTCCCACTTTGTACTTCAACAAAATACAATGAGACAGAGGCTAAATAACATGGCAGAGATCACAGAATTAAGTAGGAGAAGCAATGTTTAACTCAGTCTGTCTCCAGAGTTCAGCTCCTTGCCATTATATCAGAATTTCTCCCTCATGCATAAGTAAAAAATAATGTAAAGTACTTGATAGTAATAGTTTACAGAATTGGAGCATTTTGTACTTAACCATTTTGTGATCACTTGATTAGAGGAAAAACACCTAAAATTTGGACTATCTTCTTTAATAAATATCTTGGTTATACTTAGCATTCATGTAACAATGCAAAGTAGAAAAGGCTAATCTCTTAAAATACATACTCTTGAAATTTGGTCTAAAAATATAAGACATTTCTAAACCATTGGCACATACAATAGATTCCTTGCACATGAACACCAGGCCTCTATCTCTATAAGGAAAATTGAGAAATATAAGCCAACATTTTCTAAACTCAGAGATGCCCAGAAAAGGTGAATCAGTCTCTTTTGTTTAGAAAATGCATCTAGAGTATTCCTTTTGGAAAACTTTAAGCAAAAGTCAAGGTAGGTTTTAATTTATCGCTTTGCTCATTTTGGTTTTCATAGAGAAAAAACAATTTGGGATAATAATATTTATCAATTACAATGAAACATAAGAACCTATTTATAACTACACATATTAAATAACAATTCACACACGTGTATACACTTACGCATACACTTATACATAGCTCCCTGAAACATCACCAAGTCTCATAGTATTAATCAGAGAAAATATAAATCACTGTTATACTGTAGGATTTCATTAAGAAAAGAGAATCTAGGAAAAATGTTGCTCTTATTTGAGCTTTTCACAGTTCATGTTAATAAAAACATTAAGTTTCTTTCTGTCTTGGGCACTTCAGCTTGTATTTCCTAATCTCCTGACATTTCAATGCTCTATACCACTCTTTATCTATTTTCTTTGAAAATGTGTGTTTAGTTTCCCAGTATTACGGGCCAAAGTTTGTCTGGAAATTTTAAGGATGAAAAGGCAAAAGAAAAAATACAATAAAATTACTAGGTCAGAGAGAGGCAGACCACAGCACAGATACTTTATCTAGAAGACCAAGGAAGACAAGAAATTGTGGCAAACTGCATGGCACAGAAGTAGTTCAAAAATCTGTCCTTTTAAGCAATACAAACCAATGCTGAATTTTAAGTTAGAGTACAGCATTGTTAGATTTGCATTTTTTAAAAAAATTACAAAATGTACAAAATAAGGATTTTAAAATTTCAAGACTAGAAATAAGGTGATGATACAGACAGGCTGAAAAACTCAGATTCAAAAATACCTGGAAGTTGTAACTAGCAGACTAGTTATAGAGATAAAGCAGTCTAAAATCAGCCCCAGGCTGTTAGCTAAAAGAGTTGGGTATCTAAGGTGGAGGGAGGGGCCTAAGCTAAGACTTAGAAATGAGAGTTGCTATGAGAAATAAATGACAAGTTGCATAACAGAAACAAAGTGACCCCTCAAAGAAGGAAGGTAATTTTACTGTGACCACCAAAATTCCTTTTGTTTAGCCAGGTGCGGTGGTACAAGCCTATAATCTCAACATTCAGCAGGCCAAGAGACAGGAGAATTGTTGAGAGTTTGAAGCTAGCTTGGGCTATACAGTTAGCTCAAGGCCAGCTTGAATTGCGTGGTGAGATCCTGTCTCAAAAAGACAAAACAAAACAAAAAACCCCCGACCTGAGGATTAGTGGAACAGATTCTAAGACACAAACAGTTTTTGTCTCAAAAAGACAAAAAAAAAAAATTACTTTTGCTCATTTAGTTACTGAAGGGCTAGACAGGTATTCCCTCCATACTGCTCTTTCATGGGATCCCATCTACAGGACCACATTGGGTTTAGGATGACAAAATTTTGGGCCAGGGATTTAGCTCAGTGACATAAGTACCTGCCTGACAAGTATGAAGTTGCGAGTTTGATGATCCTTGCTACAAAAAAAAGAAAAGAGAAGAAAATTTTGAAGGAGTAAAAAATAACTGTAGGTCCTTTATCACCACACAATACATTCAGCAACAAGGAAAGGACAAGCTGTTTTGATGCCATGAAGATTACACGCTTACTATGAAAAGAAAAGAAAATCAGAGGTAGATATATAAATTACCAAAGAACTAGTCAAGATGTTACTTTTCCCTTTTTGAGTCTCACTAAACATTAGCATTGATTACATTATTATTTAACAAGTATGCTTGTAAAAAACTGGACCGGACACCCATCAAGCAAACTATAAATGACAGAAATGCCATACTGATTGATAATGGACTTTAACCTCATCGGCTAAAACTTAATGAATAGTCTAATAATATACTCTGATCACTTATTACTTGCCAGGTCTTATTTTATAATGCTTTTTTATATCATACAACCTTTAAATCTCACAGCAATTCTATCAGATAAAAAGATACACATCTGCTTATGATAGAAAGGTACAGAATGGGCAAGTAACTTGGCCAAGGTCACATAACTAGGAAGCAGCAAAGCCTGGGTTCCACCCTGCAACATAATTTGAGAACCAAGGCTCATAAGAATTATAGAATAAAGCAGGTCTTCTGAAAAAACCAGCTATGGGTTTCAATGTAATAGGGGCAAACATCACCTCTCTGTTATAAGCCATAATGCTTGAGATTTAGGACACACTCTGTCATTGTAAGATACAATTAGCAATAGTTACTAACTCACCATGTAGAACAGGGCTTTTCTAGCACTGTAACATACACTCATTTCCACAGGCAGTTAATTGAGAGGCTGAACTGCATCCATGTTAATATACAAAACCCAGATGGATGGTTTTTGCACTCAAGGAAATTACTACATATGTAAACAAAAACAGAAACTTTCATTCTAGAAGATAAATGTTCAAAATGGGTATGTTTTATGCTTATAAATATTCACTGTCCTCATGCATAAACAAAAAATTTAAATTTACTTCAGGAAATCTTTAAAATTTTTCTTAGACCACAAGATACACATGTACAAAGCAAAATAAATATATGAAGTTTTCATAAAGCCACATAACGAAAAGCCACATAACGAATTTTTAGCATGCCCCTCCCCCCCATCTTGGCCAAAATCAAATCTTTCAGAAAGTGTCTGATTCTATTAGGGTCTGCAGAATATGAATACTTTAACATACATCTCTAACATTAATAAAAACATGTAGAAATCCCTTGTAATTTTTAATCCTACCTAATATTACTTGATTTCAGATGCTCTTCTGATTTCAAGTTTTCGGTCCTCATCTGGGACTTAAATGAAACGTTTTCTCCCACAATGACTATCTGCAAGAACATCCAATTTCTCTTAAGGTAGAATGGTTTAAGACATTCTAGACAGAGGAGAGGAGGAAAATACAAGTTAACTCACAAAAGCAGAGAAATCCCTGAAACATAGTTATTTTTAAATTTGAAATGATTTAATGTGAAAGGCAAAGAAAAAAATCAAAGATCTTTTTTATGTCTAATTTCTTAGAACATACCTTTTAAAAGTGTTTCCTATGTATCTAACAGAATCTTGTTTTTGATCAAATTGTCATTCTGTATCACTGTCTGAAAGCTCAGAGATCTCTATAGGACAGACAGAGGTTACCCAGCAGGGTTCTTGCAGGACTACGATGAGAATTACCTATAGAACACAGCAGATGGACTCCTTACTGAAGGAAAAGCATGTAAAACAAACCACAACTACAGGGGCTATGAACAATACTTAAATTTGAAGATCAGTTGAAAATGTCAGGTTTTAAATTTTCATTCATTAAACAATATCTGGTATTTTTATCTCCCAGATACTGTGTTAAGGACTGAGTATACGATTATTAACACAGCTATCATGCTACCATGGATTTAAAAACTTAATGTAGGAAGACAATGAGGAAGGAAGAGGCAACAGAAGTTAAAAGCATAATCTCAGGAGTCCCTTTGTCTGTCACCAATGGTCTACCAGACAGTAAAATTGAGACATTAGGAAAAACAGCACAATTTCCTGGGAACGTCAAATTAATTCAAAGATTTGTGTACAGTGAGCATTACTGGCCACTGGTCACATTTATAATTTTTCTTTTTCTTTCTTTCTTTTCTTTTTGGAGACAGATTTTCACACTGTAGTATATAAGCTGGTCTTGAACTTACTGTGATCCTCCTACCTCAGCTTCCAGGTACGCTATATCCGACTTACATTTCTACTTGGCAAATACTAGGCTACATGTACCATATGTGTGATTTCTAAAACTGAAGCTAACTATGACAGACTGCCAAGAGTCTTGTGTGAAGACGCTGGGGCTCAAACCAAACTGCCACTTGCAGGTATAAACTAAGTGGAATTATTTCATCTTTCAGTTTTGTTAAAAGATAAAGATAATAAAATAATCTACTTCACTGAGGTATTTTCAGGATTTTAAGATTGTAAATAAGGCCTCAAAAAAGTTGGTCAAGGGCTGGGATATAGCTCAGTGGCAAAGTGTATGCTTGACAAGTGTGAGGTTCTGAGTTTGATTCCTGGTACCTCCCCCCAAAATGTTGGTCATTATCATCACCTTTTACGGTTTTATTAATCCTCCCAACAACCCAAAATGATAAATGCTATTATTTTTATTCTATAAATTACAAAACTAAAGCTACAAACTTATCAAAACACAATGTTTTTAATAATTTTAAACAGCAGAATAAAGAAGAATTATAACAAAAATCTCAAACATACAGCAGTGGACTTTGTTGCCATTCTTCAAAGTATATTTTCCAGCTCTTGCAAGTTAAGTGGCAATTTAGTGGAAATAAATAAGATAAAACTTCATGGGAAGTGCTGAGGATTTTACTTTAGCAGTGCAGTGTGTACCTGGCAAGCGCAAGGTTCTCAGTTTGATTCCAGGTACAAAAAATATATATAAATACATAAAACTTCATAATAGACCTAAGATCCTTAATAGCCTAGCATATAAAATCACACAGGTTTCCATTTTCTGATCTAAAAAACCTATACATGAATGTTTAATTTTAATTTATTACAATAACAGACACAGTCATTAATCACCCCGATATATTTTCCCTTATTTGAACAAACTTTTCCCGGTTTCTTGCCACTTTTTGAAATAGTTCTCGGAAATCCTCTTTCATAAGTGCTCTTAGTTATGTTTTTGTGGTTACCTCAATGTCCTGAAGCACTTAAAAACATTTACCTTTCATGGCCATTTTGACATTGCAAAATAGCCAGAAAGTCCCATTAACCAGATCCAGTGCCTAAGAGGACGAGGACACACTGTCATGTTTTTACAAGCTGCCTCTCCACTGGGTGACATTTGGCAGCAGCGTTCACCATATATTTTTGATTATACCTCATAAAGACAATCACAAAAGACTTTCAGAACTGCTTCGGAAGTGATAGGAATGTTAGGGTAAGCATGTTTGAAGCAAGGAGATTATTTGGAGGGGGATTAATGGCAATGTATCTTTTACCATAATACATTTTTAAAAAACTAGATATTCACTGTAGATTACAACCATATCTCATGTTATCTTAGTTTCTTGCTATTTTCCCCCTCAGTATCTTTGTTCATGCCCCTCCTTTCTCCCTTTCTTTTCTTGTGGTACTGGGGACTGAACCCAGAGTCTTCACGCTGAGCTACATCCTTAGCCCTTTACTGATTTGAGACAAGGTCTGCTATGTTACTATTTTGCCCTGTTTGCTTTTTCAGCAAAATAAGACCCACCCATATCCTCTAACCTTCAAATCTTAAGAAATTCTCAAGAAAGAAAAAAATCTTCCCTGGTTTTAGCCTCTAGCTTACGTTATTTCCCAGGTGGTATCTCTAGTTCTTCCCTCTTTTCAGCACAAAACAAAAATTCTAATTTTAGAATTTTTTGATTAGTGAGACAATTACCAGACAACACAGAGGTTTTCTACAACTGCTGACATAAATTATACAGAAGTAACAGCACACAATGACTTCCACGGCAATTGTAGAATATTTCTGGAAGTATCACTAAGTCATTATTATACGTAACCTTCTCTGTAGTTTAGGGTCAAAATTATTGTTCACAGGATACAAGATAAAAAGGGGAGACAAATCTTCATGTTGAGTGACTTTCTTCAGTAACATCTAAGATATACAATTAGATGAAACAATTTTTAATGTACCTCTTCACCCTTCTACTCAACAACAAAGATATAGGCAAGTTTCTTTGATCGGCTAACATCACTCTAAATCCAAATTTTCAATTTGTCTCTGCTAAACAAGAAAAACATTACTCTCTTCACTGCCTAAATGTACAGTAGAAAATACGACTTTGTACTGTATCAATAAAATTAAATTACCAGTTCAGTTGGGCAAGACACAAATCAAGTTTGTATCAATTATTTTAAAAGTTAGGTGAAATGTGTAATAGTCATTGTACAAAACAGAGGAAAAGAAAGTGCTCTAAACTATATAACTGCATGTATATTTAAGTGTATAAGATAGAAAATGATATCACAGAGTTTTATTGGGTCATTGAACAGAACTGTTTGCAGTATCATTGTTGGAATGTCCACTCTACAAGCTTTAATTTTGTGACTTGAACAATTATTTTTAAGATGGCAATATGTAATCCATTAACTAGTGATTTCCTACTGTTCATTTTTTTCTTCTGTAAATCTGTATAACTTGTACCCTTTCACTTTTTTTTCTTTTCTCCTTAAATAAAAAAAAAAAAAAAAAGTTAGGTGAAGAAATAGTTACCAAATCTTTTCCAAATCTGATGAAAATTACAAATCCACAAATATAAACTCAATAAACCACAAATATTTAAACACAAAAGAAAATTTACAAAGGCATTTAATCAAATGTTTGTTAAACACACACAAAAAAGTAATAAGAACTATGGGAGTAATAAAACCCAAAATGTGTAAATGTTGTTGTAAAAAAAGAGAGGGAAAAAAAAAGTGCTCTAAAGTATACAACTGCAAGTGTGTTTAGGTGTGTTAAGATAGATGACCATATTACTAAGTTTTTGTTGGATCATTGAACACAACTGTTTGCAGTCTCACTGTTTGAATGTCTACTTTGTATGCTTTAATCTTGTAATTTGAACAACTATTTCTAAAATGACAATATGTAATCTATTAACAGTGATTTGTTACTTTTTTTTTTTTTTGAAATTCTGTATTACTTGTACCCTTATACTGTTTTGGTTTTTTTCTCCTTTAAATAAAATTTAAAAAATGTTTGTAAACAATGATAAAATCTTAACAGCACAGAAAAAGATGTATTTCTTATAAAGAGCAATAAAGATAAGAATTATGGCAGAATGATTATCAGAAAAAAAGACAACACAGAAAGTGAGAGAGTAGTATTTACAAATCACAGAGGGGGGAAAAAAATCTCAATTTATAATTTTATATCCAGCAAAAATATCCTTCAAATTGAAGGTGAAATACATTGTCAGAAATAAGAGCTAAGAAAATGTGATGGCATCAGATCAATACTACAAGGAAAACTAAAAGAGAGCTTCAGGCTTGAAAACAATACTATATAGAATATATAGGAACCTGTGACTAAACAAGAGACAAAGATTGCCAGGAACAAAAACATACATGGAATACAAAATAACTTTTTATTTCTTGCTTTAAAATTTAATGCAAAAAACTGACTTAAGCAAAAACTACTACTATATTTTAGAGCTTAAAAAATGTAGATATTTGACCATAATGGTACAAAAGGGAAATGAAAGTACTATATATACTGATGTAACTTTTTCTAATACACATAAAACAGTATGATAGAAAAGTGAATAACAGTAAATCCTAAAGTGAAAAAGACATAGCTCATCAAGCAACTGAAGACCACACTCTCAGCTGATAGCAAACCTGCCAACACTTCAATCCAGTATAATCTTATGGGATCAGTGCTATAAAGACAGTCCATTATTGACTCAAAAATCCACATGCAGCATAATGATTATACACATCCACATACAAACCAAGAATAATGAAAACACATCCACATGTTTTACAGAATTTTATAGAATGGTCTTAAAGGCTTTATGCACAACAGCAAAACAAAACAAAAGAACTAATGGTTGTTAGTCACCAAAAAGTAAACAGGTAAACTGAGGTATAGTCATGCAATAGAATATGATTCAACAGTAAACAGAAAGGATTACTGATGTATATGCAACAATGTGAATTAATCTCATGGTATATTTCTGGCAAGCAAAAGAATACATACTATATTATTTCACTTATGAATTTCTGTAAACAAAGATAATCAATAATAATAAAAATTAGAATACTGATGTAACTGAGTTATAAAAGGATTAACTATGTCAGTACTGACTACATAGGAGTATGAGAGACCTTTTTGGGATATGAAAATAATCTACAACTTGATTAGGATGGTAGTTACAGGAATATGTTTGTAAAAATTCACAACAATACAATGAAAATGAAGTACACTATCTTATAGAGATAATTTGATTAAAAACATTCTATAGTGGGATTAGGAGTATGGCTCAGCAGTGTAGTGACTGCCTAACATGTATGAGGCTCTAGGTTCAATTCCCAGCATCACACAAAATATAAGTGAAACAAAATAAGAATTATAAATTTTTGTCTGGATTATAACCCCATCAACCTGTAGGATTTGTGGTATCTCT